TAAAGTGGCACTTTATAATACAAATCGCCACCAGTGTCGCCACGCTGACTAGCATATTAGAGACTGGGGATAGCAACATCAGCAAGCACAGTATTTTTTCTTTTGAAAAAGTCGGTGCCTTCCGCAAACACGCTTGTGCCTTCGTGGCAGACTTGAATGCACTGAGAATTACGCACACGATTCATATTTAATACCGTAACACTTTCGCCTAATTAATCGACGTAAAACTCTTTTTAATCATTGATAAAAAGTCCAGGGCAGCGTTAAATAGAGCTTTATATTCAGTCAATCTACCGCCATTGCACTGATAATCGGATAGACGAAAATAGCAGAGAAAACTGAGTTCACAATCTTTACAATATAGAATCTTTTAGAAAATTTGAATGTAAGTTGTCAGCAATCAAGAGAATAGCGAAAGCTGGATAGCGTCCAACTTGTTTGAAAAGCAAAAAAACTGCAGATTTCAAGCCAACAGTTATTAAAGATTACCTCCAATTTAAGACGGCTAAGGTTTAATCCAGGTTATACCGAACAACAGCAATTTTGGAGCGTTTGAAATCTGATCTTTTGTGTATGAACTATGAACTGTTAGAAGATTGGATATATTGTTTGTCATTCAGAATCTTATACGGTTTTAAACATCATTTTTCAGACGTAAACTTTGTGTACAACAAGACTTCGCAACTGGCAAGACATCGCTACCGTTTGTAACCAAAATACCCAGAGAAAAAGATGAAAAATGGCAGCGGAAATTTCACGATTTCAAGTGGACTTTGCGAGAAAGAAACGGAAAGCGAGATGATCGCACATGCGGTGTTTTTAAGCATCGTGATGGCGTTCACTTTATTTGGCAATTTTCTCGTCATTGGGACGGTCGCTACATACCAGAAGCTGAGGACGGTGACGAATTATTTTGTCATTTCACTCGCAGTCAGTGACGTGCTGGTTGGCATGACGACACTCCCATTGAAGGTCAGTTCGTTTTCTGTCATCTTGATCATTGATGGATCGTTAGACAGCCGGGTTCTTCTCTGATTGCTGGGGTTCAGAGACCCCAATCTTCATTCCCTCTGCCACAAGGTCCATTTTCCAGACCCATTTTAATCGGGAAGCAGATAAACCATGTTGGTTCAACTTCTTTTGACTGACGTCATGTGAACGAGCGAATTGATGTAACAAATAGCCTGTAGATAGTTAATTACCCGGGTATTTAGGACTGATCCACTCTACACAACTATTCTGAAAAAAGAGAACTGTTTTTGAGGGTGTTGGAAGGTATGCAAAGACACTATTGTTTATGTAAACACGAATGATAGTGAATTCCTTATGGTTTACTAGATCGACCAAATGATTCACAATAAGAAATGGTGTCATGGTATAGAGCTGTGTACGTCATGGATTATCGCAGATATCGTTTGCAATTGTGCTTCAATTTGGAACTTAGTCCTCATCAGCATCGACCGAGCACTCGCAATCTCGTACCCATTCCACTACCGCGAGATGATCACGAAGAGGAAAGCGAGTCTGCTCATCTCTCTGGTTTGGGCCGGCTCCATCCTAATGGCTTTCTTGGGAATGCTCAATTGGACTTTTCCTGGACAAGAACATATATTCACGGTTTTCTCGTGTCAAAAAGGTGACAGAGTGTATTATACAGTCGTCACAGTGTTGGGTTTCTTTCTGCCATTAATTATCATTCTTGTATCCTATGGTAAGTATTCTGGGATCAATGTCTTTGTTTCGACTACGACCATGACCATGTCTCTTCAAGAAAGATGAACACATTCAATGCAACCTAAGTCACTTAGTTCCTCATAGATTGCAGTCTATATCATGAAGCTAATCACATAGATTTCTATATAGTCAGGCATTGTTATATTCCACGAGCTGTTAGACATTCAAGAGCTGCTATTGATGTCGTTTCTCTTACATCTCTCTTTTTCCAGGTTTTGTTTTCAGCATTGCTTTGTCTCAAGCTAAAAAAACAGTGGCAGTGACTGGAAGACGCAACTCTCTGACAACGGTTCATTTCCTTCGCGAGTTTAAGGCGGGAAAAACGCTCGCAATTGTTGTGGGTGCTTTCATAGTATGCTGGTTACCTTTCTTCATAATCCTCCTTTACACCTTCTGGGCACCACTGAAGTTCTATAAATGGAGCCTGAATAACAAGCTGGCATTTGAGTTTGTCGACGTCACGTTTATTTACTTGCTCACGTCAGTAAACTCGGCCCTAAATCCCTTCATCTACGCGCTGTTCAATACAGAATTCCGAAGAGGTTTCCTGAAATTTTTCTTCAAGATTATCCGAGTGAGGGCACGTCAGCAAAACGGGAGCGATGCTCTTTCTGCCTCTCACAACTCAAGAAGACGATCGAGCACTCCATTCGCATTTTTAAAAAGAAACTCATCAGTGTAATTTGTTTGAAAGGAATTTCACCATTTATTAACAACGAAACGGTGGAGAGTATAGATGGAACTTAGCCACAAAGAGGAAACTGTTTTTGACAATTAAAAGCATGTATTGCTCCCCCAAAAGACGCGTGCTTTTCCAAAGGGCAGAAAATTAATTGCAAGAACTATTCTTTCATCTGTTTTCATTAGAAGCCATGCATACTCTAGTTTGCTGTAGTCTGATTCATATAACGTATTAACAATATATAACACACATATAAGTTATAACAAGCTAGCTCAAGACAGTATAATTATAATAGGCCGTTTATGCACAAGCAACAATTAACAGGACTTCGAATATTTGTACAAGTGTACGTTTTGTTGTAGCAAGTTGTGGCTAGTGCAAAATAAACGCTAATTTGACTATTACTCTCTTGTGTTTCTTCTATAGCATTACACCCTCAGTCAGAATTCTTGATAATTGTGCACTTTTGAGAAGTCACTGTTACAAATAGTTCTGGTAAATGTTTCGCAATTTCTCAAACGCTCATTCGGCTATGGAACAATGTTTCCAGGACGTTTTCGATCCATTACAGGCATGAATCGTTCCGCAAAATATCAGGAGAATATGAACTTATCATTTTCATAAATTAAAATGCCTGTACGATGACAAGCACTGGATTGTATGCACAATTACAAGCACTGGGTTGCTAACGAATTAAAAGGCTAATGTTTTGCAATTTACATTCCAACGTCTCTTAAAAGTTCAAAATTCCTAGTTATTTCATCAGGAAACCGTGTTCTTTAGTTGAACTAAAAAACACAGCTAGGAATTATTTTTTTGTTTTTCTTGAAAGTACGATTAAGAAAACACAGATTCCTAGCTTGTTTAAAAAGACACAGATTAAGAAACACAGATTCCTAGCTTGTTTACCCGCGTTTGAGAAATATGATTAGAAAGCAACGTTTCTGTAACAATATTTCCTAGTTCGTCCTATCTCTAAGCTACATGGTAAATACGTCAAGTAATATTGTTTTTTGATAACCTTGAGCGTATGTCGTTTTCGTTGTCCGCGAACAGTGTACAAATATCTCAGCGGTTTTTCGCCTCGCGCGTGATACGTTTCGTCAAACGTCCAGAAATTAAACCACCGATGAAAATGATTGCGAGCGCACACGAGAAGACGATGAAGAAGTAATTTTTGCGCGGTGAGTTACTTAAGACCGAGGCAAGATCTGTCAGAGACTCGGGATGTGCGACCTAGACGGGAGATATTGGAAGAGACACCAGTTATTTGCAGGAATGCAGTGAAAATTAAATGAGAAAACAATGGGAATAAAGAAAAGAGAAGGCAAGCATTGTATGAGTGAACGGCCAAAAGTATTGGGTGAGGATTTAATGCTTTTTCTGTGTATTAAGACTGAGTTACCAGAGCTTGGTAAAAACAAATCTTCTCTAGTTTGTTGACGAAACAAGCAGTCACGGATGGCACAACGTAAATATGTCTTTCAAAATGGCACACATGCATGCATCGATCGATGAGGGTTTGTCTTAACAGTAAGTTAAGAATAATGAAAACCTTACCCCAAAGCCTGTCCACATTTCTTTTCTTGATTTCAAAACACCACGACATTCCTTGCTTAGTTTCTTACCACTCTCCAACGCATGCATCAGACATTGTAGAACTATAATAAACACAATACGGCACAGTGATTTACCGATTTGGCTGCGAACACACTCTCAGTGATGAATCCAGAACGTGCACTCAGCAATTCTTGGTGATTGATTAAAAAAACTCCCGATCGGAATCCAGATATATAAAGCACTTACTGACTGAAGAAAACCTCAAGATCTCTCCATATAACTGGAGTACTACAAGCCTCGTTAATGACGTAATGAAGCTTTAATTCAGAGAAATGGGAAGAGATTAAAACTTGAGAAAAAGAAAACGCTACAAAAACGCTTACTTCGCCCTCTGCCATGATTCACACTATCGCAGTGTTTTGAGACCGAGCTTGCACAAGCCTCGTGGAGAACTGGGTCGGCCATGATGTCAGTTCGTTCCTCAATAAGCGCCTCCTTTATTTCCTGTGACGTGAGAAAAACGCGCGGTTTGAAAAAGCCCTGGGTACTTGTAATAAAAGAGAGCTGTGAAGAGGATAAAATGTGTGTTCGGGGTCCAGTTGTTCGAAAGGTGTTTAAACGGCGGATATGTTCAAAATGGAAATCTATTTTTTATCAAGTGGATATCTAGTGGGTACAATGTGATCGCAGCCTTTGATCATGATTGTCACTCACAGCTCGACATTTTTCGTTTTCGATCTTTTTGTAATGTTCTTTTAAGCATTCCATAACTTCACCATGACCAGGATCAATCTCATGGCAATACTTGTCGATCTAAGGGAACAAAAACACATCAAAGTGAGAGTCGAGTCTGTATGTTTTGCACATAATCATGTATTTTGACAGAGCTGTCCAGCTTTGATTAACAGTGCGCGGTCAGAAATGGTTCATCCGGATTGGTCACAATAATGTCACGTGTTATAATTCAACTGAATTTAACGAGCTATGTGAGATCAGTTTATTATTCTGTGAACAAACCTCCTGGCCACAGGCTTTAGCGAGAATTGGATTCAAGCGATAGTCTAATGCCGCTTCTTTCTCCAAATCCACAACAAATTCTTCACAATCTCCAGATAAATCCTAAGTCGAAGCAATGTTATAAGTTCCCTCACATTTTCTTTCCCTAACAACACTTAAAAAAGGCTCGTTTAACAATTGCAATTTTCGTTGCGATTTTTTTCTTTTGATAGATGTGAATGAGTGAATTAGTTACTGATGTTCAAATAAGAGCTCTTATACATCAGAGCATTCGTAACTAATTACTCGTTCACATCTATCAAAAGAAGAAAATCGCAGTAAAAATCGCAAGTGTAAACGAGACTGAAGACTTCCGACTGACCTCGATATTTTTCTTCAAGCATGGAATCACTTGATCATTATTGGTCACGTGCTCACAGAACTTGCTGATGTCACGACGACACGCCTTTTCCAGACCAGGCATAAGTGCAATATCTAGATGATGGGTATGAAAACATCAGAACACACAGTACGTTATCACTATCTCAAGCCTGGTTTCCGGTCAATTTTTCTGCTGCGTAGGTTGGATATACGACGCTTCCAAATAATATTGGTCACGGTTCGGGCGCTACCTGCAGGGGTATAGTGCTCAACAGGGGCACTCTGCTTCAGCATGGCTTACGAACAGTTTGGATTATAGGAACTAGCGTTTGAGCGCAGCCTTATTTACCTTTCAAAGCGTTCTTCTGTCGAGTAAACACAAGATCGCGGCATCTAGAGTAAAGAGGTGGACATATGTTTGCAGTTATCTACATAAAGTTTCATTATCGAGAAAAACAAAACTACGAATGGTCAAGACGTACTCTTGCTCGTCCTCTGCGGCCATTTCACGTTTGTGTTTCTTCAGACAGTTGAGGACTTTGTTTGGATTAACATTTTCGCAATATTTCTAAACAGAAATGCAACAGAATTTTTGAATTTCAAACTCGATATGGGGGAAGAATATCTTCCGCCATAACGGAAGCCAAGTTACTTAATCAAACTGTTTGTATAATGCGGTTCCCCCCCCCCTTCTGTTTGTAAAATGCAGATGCTCCGCCCCCCCTTCTCCAACCCGCAACAGCCCGCTCAACACGAAATTATGAGGCCCATGCACCCAGCCCGTATTAACACCATACCTTGATCATTCTTTTACAGATTTTGAAAAGGCGAACATCAAGATTTGCATTGGCCACTTCCTCTTTCTAATAAACACGTCAATAAGTACATAAATTAGGTCTCGAAAAAATCCCTAACCTTGATCGACATTAATCCAAGTGACGACGTGATAATTGCTTACGGTTAAATGTACAGTACCTCTCGCTCGAAAATTTTTCTGGAACATCCATCAGATAAGTCGCCCTCTGCTTGTTTCAAACACTCTAAAACCTAAAAAACAAAGCAAATCGCCAAATTACAGTTTTACCATTTTTCATCACGGACAAAAAAATTTCCTCTCAGTTGAAAAATGTTTTATGTAAATGCCGAACAAAATTTCCAACTGCAGCTAATGCTATCTTTTTAGATACAAATAATTTTGTTGTGGCCAGGGGCTTTACCGCCCCCCCCCCATCTTAAAAAGCACGAGGTCAGGGGTACCCTCCTGCACCCCTACGTGCCTAATATCTATTACTGACTTACTGCAGCCGGGCCATCTTTGTGCACGTGAGCGCAGTGCTTTTTCACATCTTCTGCACAAGCACCGTAGAGTTTCGGGTCGAATTGGATGTCTTCAGCCTAACAGAAAATGGAAACAGAGAATACATTTGATAAGCAGCGAGCTCACCAATAGGGAGCTTCAGCTGACAGCTGTGACTACAAAAATTCGTAGCCTTTGGGTACGATTTTGTTGATGAATCTCGTAGTCAAAAGCTCAAAGACTACGAGTTTTGTCAGCAAACGACTCAAAATTGGCGCGAAATTGATGAATTCAGCTTCTTAATGTACGGACAGGATGCATAAAATAACTCTTTTGGAAGCTTGGCTGAAAGAGAGAGGACAAACGTTGCACACCTGACGAAGTTTCTCAATAGTTAATTGCTCCCTACATTCTTGGGAAATCTTGTGATCTGCATCACCGATAACAGCTTTGCGAACCTCGCCGCTTAAACACGCGATAACATCAGGTCTGCAACGAACAAACACAAAGGCATCACTTAGAGATTCGGTGTGGCATTTCCTTCGGTTTGCTTGCACGTAAATCAAATATTGTTGGTGGTTGAGGAGCGCGAACGGCTCGACTTACTTGCTTTTTGAATTAATACAGTGAGTTTGCACGTCTTTTCTACACGCCTTTTTGAATTTCGAGGAAAATTGATAATCTTTCAGCTCGATCTTAAATGAATTAGGAAGATACAATGAATTCGATTTTGTCCACAGATACGATCACCTTGACAGCGTATTCAATGAAAGCAGGTGTGGAAATAACAAGCACTCAGTCTGAATGTAACCTTCGAATGACTAGAGTTGTCACTCCAGTACATTCAAAGATCACTGTTTACTACACGTGCTGTAACTTACCAGTTCCCGATGGTCGAGTTCAGCGCGGCACTTTTTGTCCATTCGATGGTCGTATTTATTGTTGTACAGACACGGTAGTATCCCGTCAACGTCGTTCTTTTTGAGTAAGTCCTAGTCAAATACATGAAGAAAAGATGAACGAATATTACTCAATAGCTCCCTTCATTCGTTGAGCAAAATTCGTAAACCGGATGGCCACAGAACTGAGAAGATGAAACTATTGCTCGGCCTGGCTCGCGGGTTAGAAAAGCGAGACATCAGAAGCCAGCCTGTTTTTTAGGCTACCAACGTCATCTGCTGCACAAAATCATTCAAGGTTGAATCATTACCGAGCAAAATTCCTTAACCATCTCAGAGCAATGCTTCACCATAACTTTGTCAAGATCGATGTCCTGCGAAATATAAAGAACAGGAGATTGATGATAAGCACACACTACTATATGTTACCGTTAAATAAATATATAACCAACCATGGTGATAGCTAGCTAACTATATACAATTAGCTATACAACCGGCATACAGTACCTCGCTTTCTTCTTCTGTGAACTCCCCTATACTCTTCTGACATTTTGATTGCAGCTGATCATAATTATCTTGCAAACATTTGATTTCCTGAAAAAAAAAATGAGTAACTTTAAAACCATGGCTTAATTACTCGCCCTTCCTCTTAAAATCACACCCCCCGGAAGAGATTAAGACACATGTATATTAGAACATTTGAGGGACTTATCAGAGTTAATTTCAAAGCTGTACAAAATGCAATCATTTGCAATCCGGGGAACTGGGATAAATTAAACTTTTCTGGTGGCCAAATTCCATAGGTGTCCCCCCCCACCTCACACCCTGTGTTCTCCCACCTCACACCCTGGTGTCTCCCACCTCACACCCTGGTGTCCCCCACCTCACACCCTGGTGTCCCCCCACCTCACACCCTGGTGTACCCCCCTCAGACCCTGGTGAACCTCCACCTCACACCCTGGTGTCCCCCAACCCCAGATGTACGAGTATCTCACCTCTCCCGCTTCTATTTTTTCACCACAATATTTACTAAGATCAGAGATACAACTATGTTGTATGTGGGGCATCAATCTCACATCAGTTGCCCTCTGGTGCATTGTTCTCATCACTTCAGCCACGCACTGCTTGCTGACCTGATAAAACGATCAAGAGATACTTTAGATGCCTTGTTGATGGGATAAAGTTGTTGGCGGGGTTTTGTTCGCGGCGTTTCGCACCAGGAAGACAAGTGCCGGATCTCTCTGGATCTCGAAAGAAAACAATTCAGGCCCTTTTTTGTGGCTAAGTGGTAACACTTGAATAAAGAAAGTGGGCTCTCACAGGATCTCAGGAATTGAAAAATAAAGTATTCACTAGAAAAAGGAGTTCTTTCTAGCGAGAATTGCACCAGTTGTTACTAATTTTCTTCAGAGAAAAGGTTTTGAGAGAGATTTCGATACTTTGATACTGAGATTTTGATACTTGTTATAAGAGCTTGTAAATTTAATGCACCATACAAACCTTTTTACTCGGGTCTGGGTTCATGTTTGGTAGAATATGACGATAGAGACAAGCCAAGGTCATCCCTTGTGGGGCGGTGTCTTTATCTGGGTGACCGATTTCTTCATTTTCACAAAGATTTTTCGCATCATCTTTGCAGGCACGATATAATGATTCATCCAATCTAAAATAAAGATAAAAAAGGGGCAGATAAGGGTAGGTATGGGTAGATAGAGGTAAGTATGGGTAGACTGTGGTGTTGTATGGGTGAACTGAAGTATAAATAAGGATAAACAAAGGCAGATAAGGGTAAGTTTGGATAAGCAATGGTAGAGGTGATATAAGTTGAACAAGGATAAACAGGACGTAAATAGAGGTAAACAGGGTGAATAATGGTAAACATGAGTGAATTAGGGTGAACAAGGGATTGTATGCATTTCAAACTTACTGAAAATCTCTGGCAAGGAAAAACTGCAAATGAAGAAGACTCTCTCGACATGATCCTCCCAAATCCTTGTGCTCGATATTCTCCATGAGACAGGATAACACGCTGTCGTGAAATATTCACAAACCTCAGAACCACTTCATATTCGGTTGTGCATCGTTCGACCTACACACAACTTAGGATCTCACAAACTTACCCCATATCATTTTTCACATCGCGACACAGCTTATTCGCCGCTGACTGGCATTGGGTACGTAGTGTTGCATCCACTTTGAAGTCCCCTCCCGCACCAGTTTCCTTCAACAGATTGCTGATCTAGGTGTCACGGAAGAGATGATGAAAGTTTTATGATCTGCATTATGGACACGGTAAAGGTGTATACTTATTCTGTACTCCAATTTCCAAAGGGTACTGAACACAATTGACATATCTATATCTATATGTATATCTATATATCTATATATCTATATATCTAATATATTATATATATATATATATATATATATATTATATTATATATATATATATATATATATTACTTGGACTGCCTGCTCGTCATATGTATGTCAATGCTGAACAATGAACTATATCTGCCATCTTAAATTTGACCACGACCAAGGCAAGCATAAAAATACAAGTTCTCCAAAGAAAAAAATCGGTCGCGCTTTGCACGAAGAGTTACGCACTGACGAAAGAGAAGCGTGGATATACATGTATGAAGTGCCACGCCGTATAAACTCTCGTTTTAACAGCCAAAGGAGGGAGATGAACTACGTACGGTCCTCAGACCATGATGTACGTGCACCTTGCTGCATTACTCGAGTTGATCTTTCTTAAGCAATGCGAGCGCCTCTATTCTAACAAACTCAGAGTGTCTAGGGAAAAAACGTAAAGCTCAAAAACTAAAGCTCAGCACATACCGCATCGTAACATTTGTCGCTAAACTCTATTTTATTGTCCTTCCCTTCCTTTTCCATGGCCTTTTCCATCAAACAATCCAGGGTTTTTCCTCCTTTTTCAACTTTACCACAGTATGTTCTGATCTCTGTGTCGCACTTGGCAACAATGGCTGGGTTGATGGAGTAATCTTCCATCAACTCTTCTTGAAGTTCCTTCATGTGCTGTTGACATGATCCGCTGACCGTTGCACCTGTGGGAACACCTCATTAAATTCGTCATTCTCGCTGGGAGATTGCTATGATAAATATCACATAACTACACGCGTAAAAATCATCATGTTGATGAAGTTGTTAAAAAAAGGATTGAACAATTTTGTGCTGCACCCTGTGAACAGTATTGTTAACAATGTTATTGAAGCTTGTTGAATCATCAGTGTTGATGCAACTTGTTACAACAACATTGCATCGTCATTCGTGATTGCAACAACATTGATGATTCAACAAGCTTCAACAACATTGTTAACAATACTGTTCACAGGGTGCAGCACAACATTGCACACTCCTGATGATGATGATGATGACAACCTGATCAATTTTTGGCCGTGTACATTGAACTGACCGTTATTAATCGCGTCCTCCAAGCAAAGCAGGACATGCGCTAGGGCTGCGGGTGAACCACCCTTCGGTTGACAACTATGGCGCTGAATCTCTTTCTCGCAACTTTGAAGCAGTGGAAAATTTGCCTGAAATGGTCACAAGACATGTCTTAAAACTTTCAAAATATGACCGACACACATGAACAAGTTTTGACCATTTGCAAACCACAGGCTTTGGTGATATGGGCAGGGGGAGGGCATGGGTGTGGTCTACCTTGTAGTCCTTTGATTCAACTTTTTGCTTTGTTGCTAACTTTTGTCGACACTAAATTGGAAAATGAAATTGCGTCACACTGGGGTGGGCAATAGAGAAAGCAAGAACAGTTTAATTTAAACAAAAAGAATGCTAAATTATGATGAGTTAGGCACTTGAGACAATGATAAAAAAGCAAAATTGAGAATTGCATTAGAGTAACAGCAATATGATCAATTTTTTTTATTCATTTTTTGAGATCACTGCCCATTTTCCATTATCCAAAGAGCTCATAGTCAGAATTGATGAGTGAAACAGACCTCTTTTACCACATATGGTGGTTCCCCAGCTCTCACATCAACAGCTGAACTTACCTCATTTGACATCTCAGCATGGAATTTCTTTTTCATTAAACAAGCATAGACTCTGCCATTGCCTGCTTCAACATTGGCACAGAAGCGCTCTCTATCATTTCTACAAGCAAAGTAAAGTGCCCTGTTCATGTGGTAGTCCTTGCTCTGAAGTTCAGCCACGCGGAGGACTTTATGACGACATGAATCTGTCAGGTTGCCCTCGTTGTCTTCAAGACATTCAAGTGTTGAACCTTGCGTATGTAGATCCTGGAGATATGAGGAGAAAAACATTAATTTTTACCAAAACAATCACAAAGTCTAAAAGAGCACGACTTACGCCCTCTTCCTCCGCATCCTGTCTACCACATTTAAACTTTTTCACATCAGCTGCGCAATCCTTATAGAAATTCTTCAACAATCTGTAGTCACTGAAAAGTATTTGAGCCAGTTTATTGATAACATGTTTACATCTTGCATTCTTGATGGCATTTTTGTTTTCAACTAAACACGGAACTAGTTCTCCATGCTTTGGCTGTAGTACTTTGCATTCATCAATCTGAAACAAAACGTTTTACATTGAGTCAAAGATGAAGAGTTCAACAACGTCCTCAATCAGAAAGTACAGGACATTTAATATAATAGAGATTCTGGTTATAGCCCCCCCCCTATCCTCTTTACAAATTTTCACCCTAATCTTTTTTCAGAATCAAACTAACTTGTTGCCAATCATCTTTACAAATTTCAATTGCAGGTGTTTCAAAGACAGGGTTTTCAATAAGCTTGCTCTTGTACTCCCATATTGCCTAAAAAATAAGCATCAATAAATAATTGGATAAGATTAGTCCTACATACAAAGATCATTTGAATAGCGCTAAATATGTTGTGAATTTGTTTCTAGTATAAAACACTTTTTGTCACTGATTAAACATTGTGCAGTACCTGATGACATTCGTCGGATAACTCATCGTCCTTAAAAACAACATAGAAAATTTTATATTTATTTATACATATGAATATATGATACACCAAAAGATGCAACATATTAATATAATTTCCACCACTATAGGTCCCTTTATTCTCCAAAATACCTTAATTTGATTTTGCAAACACAAGAGCAGGTCATAATTCCCTCCAGCTTGCGATTCTTTTGCACAGAGATCTTCAATATCTTCTTTACACCGTTCATCATTTTTTAATTTATAAGTTATTCCTTCTTTATCCTTTATTTTATGAAGCACACGTGGCTTTGTTGGAGTGGCTATTGAACAAAGCATATGTTTCAAAAAGGCAATTTTGTGGGATTAACTAATGATCATATGGAGGATAATTTAATGGGATAAAGAAATCGAGAGTTATGGCAGATCTCCTTGAATGTCATTGTCAACAGTAGACTAAAACAACTTTGATATATCATGGAATTCCTCAACTTCGTCTGCCACATCAGAGCTATTGCATATCCCTTGACAGTACTTGACACTGGTTTTTGCGAACAAAGTTTAATTTAGAAAAACTGAATGTGAATATATAATTTTTCAAAGAGTATGTGAACCTTCAAATGCTATGAAAACTTTATAATAGAGCTTGGAATGAATATTGAAGCTCTGACAAGTAGCAAGTTAAATATCCTGCTGAAAATAGGTTTTCTATTTTCACAAATTAGATCCAAACATTTTCGGGCATTGTGTAGCAGGGCTTATTTTAATACATTCATTATAGGTATAAAAATAAACTTTAGTTCTTAATGTGTGTTTTTAAGTGCTTTATAAGAACAAAATCTGCTAATAAAATCTTTCCTGATACAACAAACGCCTGAAATGGTTAATACCACAAACAAATGATACCAGAAAGGTGAGAAAGCATCGTCCTATGATTCTATTCATCACTAACTTAGTCAGGTGTAGCAAATTGACTTTACATATATTATACACATCATCACAAAATAGAGGAGAATTTGAGAGATGGTTTATGAAACCTGCACTTGCAGTGCTTTGGGCATAAACTTTGAAGCGCCTTAAAACTGTGCGAGTGCGTATTGCCATACGCGTCAAAAGCGTAAAAGGTCAGCAAGCAAAAGGATCACTTGAGTGTAATATTATTTATAAATCACTCCACCGCGAGATCCCTAGTTGCTAGTTGCCTGATATAGACCGTTCTTAAAAAGTTCACCTTACCCTGAGCTGCGTTCAACTGTCCTTCAGCATTTCTAGGATTGGTTCCATTGGGTACAGGACCACATTTACTTAGCATAATTTGGGATAACAGGACAAAAATCGCCAGCAAATAACTCCTCGCACAACAATTCGACGCCATGCTGAATATAAACTTATTATTTTCAAGTTCCCGTGGATCTGAACCTGACCGCGTTTCAGCCAGCGAGGTCTGAAACTAGTGATTTTACCCAATCAAATCGCGCAACGTTTTGCTCAAGTTGCCGTTTCAGCAAATCTTTTTTTTTGGAGAAAAGTTAAAAAACATATAAATACGATACTTTCTTTATTTTGCTATTGTTAAATATAAACGCATGATGTTGAAATGGTGTTTGTGCAACAATAGCGAGATATCTAAACGAAACGACGGGCATTTGCCACGTCGACTAATGAGCACAAGCCGCGGCACAATGTACCATGCAAATTTAACCGGTCAAGCGTAAAGGGTGAATATGGGGCAAATTCCGCTTCTATATTATTTCGTGTGAGAAATACCCCGCACATACAAAATGCTGTAGAGAACCGGAAAAGGAACCTGTCAAGGCTTTACGTACGACATGATATCTTTTATCTAAGATCTTCACCAATAACACATTAACACTGTCATATTAAAGCGTGCTTAAAATCAATTTACAAGTAATACAACAAAAAGTCTATTTTAATGACGTCACGGTCACTTTACTTTTTACCATCACGCTCAACCCAGGAATAAAAATTTATTGTAAATAAATAAATATATGCGTCACCTATATACAAATTTAATATCATTAATATTCATGTTAATTTTAAATGTAAATAATTTGTGCATCTATATAGCTGGTGTACGAAGCAAGATTGGTTCATATGATGGTTAGGCTCAGAGCAGCAAGTTCAAGTGAAACTCACCATCATCTCCTTTTCACTTGCAACGTTGAAGCTAAACGGACTTCGTACAACAGGCAATACAGTTTACAATATCTCTATATTTTCACTACATATTTGTCATGTGAAATATTTCTCTATAAAATTTAATTTTTCCCAGTGATACCCGTAGTGAAAAATACCACCGTCGTTTGTATATCTCAACTATCACACACACGAAAAAAGGCCGACTTATGCTGTCTAATGTTTCTATGGTTGTGACGATATCAACCTTGTTGACAGAATGACAAGCTTGCCACAACTTGTTTACAAAGTCCCTACGTCAATCCTACGTATTTGTCTCATAGACAAATTGTGCTAGACCGTTCAATGAGGAAGTACCATTGCTATTTACAAGCGGTGTAAGAAGCCAATATCTTCTTCGTTGTGTGTTATAACGCTTTCTCATTCAGCCTGTGTTTTTTCCCAAATTTTCAGTGACTTGATCTCCCCTTTTGTTAGGCGTTTTTAGACAAACGAATGTTTGTTTAGATTTCCGCGGAAAACATTCTCTAATCTAGATATATACGGTTGATCTTAAGGAGGTAATGGCTCGAATATATTGGTTATTTCAGAGTTCACAGAAGAGACGCTCTCCACGCGAGACGCCCTTGCTTGTGATTGCTCTGTCCAACGACTGATCTAATATTCAAACAGCTATCTTCCACAATATAACCTGATTATCTTCCCCTCCGGTCGCGACAGTCAGCCCGTCCCGCGAGACATCCACGCAACGAATGGGACCTAAAATTTAAAAAGTTATGCGTCGTTTGAAATGGAACTTAAAATACTATTGAATGATGACAATGAATTCAGAAAACGGAGGTAGGCGAGTAACAGCGTTGCAAGCTAACCTTGATGTCCTTCAACTCTCTGCACTTCCTGGTCGTTTAACAAATTCCAGATGTGCAACTGACCAGAGCTTCCCCCTGCCATGACAAGTTGACCATCCCAGACCGCGCATCTGAATCAAATGGCAGGACTAAGTTCGAAGTAAATCTCTGCATTTATCTACTCTGCGGGACAAGACGCACCGAGGCATTACGACGAGTCAAACATTCCACGTCATACCTTATTTCGTCATCAAGATCTTTCAAATATAACTCGGTTCCAGTCTGCACGTCAAGGACGCGGATGCATTGGTCTGCGCCGCAAGACAATATCCGCTGACCATCTGTGAATAATTATAAAAAACAACATAATTATAAACAACTCCGAATAAGCTTTGAGATTATCTAAAACATGCGAAATCTAAAACATGCGAAATAAACGAAGCTTACCAGGACTAAAAGCCACCGTATGGACTGTACTTCCGTGAACTTCGTGTTCATTAATGATGATACGTTTATCAATGTTCCACAGCAATACGTGGCCTAAACGACACAATAAAAAAATTAAATATATTATTACGGCCTTTCCCTGAAATTCTTCCGAGGGACAAATTCGAGAGTGTTTACCATCGGTTGTCCCGGTAACCACCAGCGTATTCGTTGGATGAAGATCTACAGAGTTGACCTGAGACAAAAAGGATTTTCTTAGAAAAAATTTGGGGAAAGTTTTAAAGAGTTGAAATACTAAAGAAGAGTGTGAAATGAGTGCAACACTTACCTCAGTATCGTGATCAAGTTCTGTCTAAAATTCCAAAAGAAAAACAAAAAATACATAAGGACAACATTGGGAAAGGCGACTCATGTACCGAAGCTAGTTCCACTCTGATCAAGTGCATTCTTTAGGAAGTGTTAGAAAGGAAAGAAACGTACTAAAAGTTCAGGCGAAGATGCCTTTTTCCCTCCACATTCTGGCACAAATTTCCACACCTATGATAAGAGACATACAAATTAAAAACACTCCCGACAAAGAATAATCACCGTACTGTTTTTATTCTTTAGAGGTAATAGAGCTACCTTAACAGTGGAGTCCCATGAAGCGGTGACCAGTATACCATCGTTCCAACATAAACATGAAACTGTGGAGGGAGACATTAGTTGGATAAGAGGGGGTAGCTGAGTTATCTAAGGATACGAGGGGATACTATTATTATCCAGGGGATACCATTATTATACACCAGCTACGTTTTAGAGGAAGTTTCTACCTTTAGGCGCTAGTTGTTTATTCTTTATTCCGAAATGACCCCCCCTGAAAATGTTTCCTAACCTCCCGTTAAAACACTATTCTGGGGGGGGGGTTAAACGTACTTGCATCGTCGTGGCCACGAACTGTGTCCGTCACTCTACCATATTCAACGGAATAAATATAGCTGAAAATGAAAGAACAGAATATACAATATTAACTGGTGGCGACAGGGTGGTCATATCCTGCGGGTGAACTACAATATTTCCGTTGAATAAACATAAGAATTACAAGTACACAATGAATATGAGTGTTTTCAATCTTATCTTCTTACATATTGTTGTCCCATGATCCAACAACAATCGTCTTTGAGTCAGGCATAATAGCACAGGACGATAAAGCCTGCCAAGAGAAAATACATACAACAATTGAAATTTGAAAGACTATCGAGTGGTTAACCGAGTGTAGTTGGTGACACTATATGCGTGACTACACTATTCTAAGGGCCATAGGAAATGAGAATATGGTACATGGATAATAAACTAGTTGATCAAGACAGCATGCACACATACCATAGAGGAAAGGTTGATACTTCGTACTTGTTGCTTGTCGTTTAGGCTGAACATTTTTAATTGGGTATCTGAAATTGAAGACACATCAATGAATCATGCAATTTCGGTTAACAGAATTGGTGTGGGTAAACCGACGTATATTGTGTTGTACGAGTCTCGCAAATTGTCAGGGCTCCAGCCACGAGAAAGATCAAAAGCTGGTGTATAATTTTCTTGTTTACCTTGGGAAACAGAAAAAACGCTTTTTCCATCAAGTGACAGACGGACCGAAGTCACACAACTAAAAAAATATCAGGAATGGTCAGTATACTTTCACGAGGGAAATATTCTGCCTTCAAGATAAAAAATTAAGGTTTTTTTACGGCTTTTGAAGTTAATCCAGTTTTACTGTGTAGCGTTTACAAGTACAATGATTACCGATATATTTTAGTGATTTTAAAAATCATTTAAACCAACCTTTTGTGCCGGCTCAGGACAAAATTATTTAATTTCATTTCCATACGAGCGTTAGAATTTCTAAATTTAGATTACACAGTTGCTATTAAATAGTAAACAACATTATTAAACATACTTTAGCTGCGAAAGGAGACGTAAGTTGTATTTTTAAAACAAGTAGTTTATAGTTTGTGTTTTAAAGATTTCAACGAAGCGATTAAAAAAAGAAGATAAAATAGATTCCCGTTTGAAAAGTAAATATGTTAAGTTCAACGTGGTTTAAAATTTCATTTCAATCCTGAATATCTTGAGCAATCATTTTATTTTTAAAGTGTACGCTTTTACGTCAAAAACGATTAAAAAATCTTTCTTGTCAAGCTTACTCTTTATGCAAGCGATGACTTGAGTCGTTTTGCAGTTTCTCAAACATGCTCCAGTGAGGCGACCCGGGCTGTTCATCCAAGCTGACATTTGTGTCCGTGACAGTGACTGAAATGATGAAGCAAATATTGAGATGCGGGGAAATAAAGTCCCAAAGGTAGACGCTTGTGAAATCTTTGTGGATGACAAATGATAGAATCATAGCAGAAGTTAAAACATTCTCTAGTAATATTAGTCGCACCTTCCTGATCCACATCTTCCATTAAAAAGGGTTCGAACTTTCGCATGTCCAAACTACTGAACTGCCATTTGATCGATAGGTTTGTACTGACGTTGAAATCCTAGCACCCTGAAAAACATACAATGTTTTGATGAGAGATGCTCGTATGTCGAGAACAATCACCCCGGAGTGGAGCTCTCATTCGGACCAACATATATTTAAGAAAAGACGATCACTGAAACGATTTATGAAATAACTCACACTTCGTCTCGGATGGGGGCTGGTGAAGAGTTGTTTTGGAGTTTGACCAAATTCGAGAATTTGGGATTCAAGCGACGCTCTTTCGTTCGGATCTGTTATACTAGGAATATAAAACATGAATATTTACTACACTACTTACTGCAAATTACAATTGATAAGCATTTTATTAGAAGACTTGTATTAGACGACAAATAACTTTAGAAAGTTTTATATTATGAATAGTGTACCTGTCTAAATCAACCGCGCCTTCGTATGTAAGGTAATAAAACACTAAATGAAAAAAAAAACTCCGATAAAATAAGCCAAAATTTCGGTGGCAATGGTGAGGTTTCCTCGCAAGACAACTGATGTTTCCACTTACCGTTATTAGCCTTCCATGCTTCCTCGCCCTGTTGCTTGTACCCAAATATCAAGTCGATCCAGTCATGAATGTTGTCGGATACATAAGGACACTCGAGTGCTTCACGGCATTTCCTGATGAAATCTTTTGGACCTTAAAATAACATTGAATGCATAAGTATACCAAAGGCTAATGTGTCACACCAGATCACAGTTCAGTTTTATACGAGGTACAGTCTTCGTATGAACTCTATATACACCTGGAGTGAGAACATGTTCCATTTCGTGATTGCACGCAGGATCGATGGACGAGATTCCTACCATCTTCAGTTTTTAGTTCTCACTCCAGATACATATATAGCGACCTACCACTAGCCCAAGCGGGAAGTTCTACGTCATGAACTTGCGTTTTATCTTGTTTTACTCCAAGAGGAAGATTTAGTCTGTTGACCAAAAACTCGCCAGACGATTGATAGAACTCAGGAATTAACTGGATGAACAAACAAGGATAAGTTGTCCTCAAACACGAAAAATGAAAATAGAGTAATTACGATCGTTTAACTTTCATAGCTGCAACTGATCAATATTTGCCGTAATCTCTACTTAAATACCGCATACTGTATGGAATTAATAACAATTACAAACCTCTTTAACATCAGCATGACCAGCAAGAACATTCTTCCACGTTGCACCAACACTATACGTGAAAAAATGAAAAGATAAACATGTCTGAAGTGTTTCATTATTAGGGCTGAGTAGCGAGTACTTTTGACAAAAGAAAGTATTACGAAGTGTGTTGAACCTTCTTGATTAAAACATGAGGAAAAACATGATTTCTTATCAGCTAGAAAGGCGTTCCACATATAGCATTGTTGTGGAGATATTCTAACAGGTGTTTTGTAAATCTAATTGAATGGAATCTTCTCATGAAACTCACCTGTTGAACAGTCGATCAGGCTGATCAAATTTTCCCCCTTGTAGACAAAGAAGATATTCAGGAGCTATGAAAAGAGAAAGTTGAAACTTTTGGTTTCTTTTTTTTTTACATGACGGATATAATGAATATCAACTATGAAATAGCGGGGTTTTTCGTCAGAAGACAAGTGGAATGTTCTGTTTGATTGTCTGTCCACTCACGACTCACTTACCAACACGTGCTAAGTAATAAAGCACATATCCAGGTGTTGAATAATGACTCCCATAGAGGAACTTTGGCTCAGCCATATCTTTGCAGCGGTCCTGAAACAAACACAACTTGGTATGAAAAACTTTTCAAATTCAGAAATCTGCGTCTTTTTACGTTTTTTCTACCTTCAATTGTTTTAAACGAGTTTCGTTCAGAGCACCGATTGGCTTTGTGAAATCACGGAACGTTTTCGGGTTGTTCAGATCTAAAACCGAAAAAAATTGTAAGGATCCAAATATCGTGGCTAGCCTCGCAACAATATCTAAAATATGTCCACATAGGTGCATCTTACCTAAATCTTTACTTTTGTAATCCGCAATAACCCAGGGGAAGACTGGGTACTGGGTTAGATCGTTGAAGCTACGATCCGCTAGGCTGTAGAAAAATTGTGAAACTTAAGTTAAGATAATTTGACATTGACTTTTGAACATTTTCATTTAATGTAACATGAGTAATTAGTCGTATCACAAATGTATGTTGATACCTGTTTAAATACATGAGATAATCGAAGTTTGAAATAACACCGTTCTGCCATTTTAGTGTCATGTTTTCCTGACCCGTGTCTTGAAGTTCCAAAGCTGAAAAGAATCGCAGATGAGTTCAAAGAAAGATCGTTGTCTAGATGTGTGTTAAACTGATTTACCGGAAAGGAAATAGCGTGTTTTATTGTACCTGGTTGTTGCAGAACTAAATCGTAAAATTTGTCTCGGTCCTTTTGTGACGGAAATACCAGAAGCATATGTGCTTGATCTTCTGAAAATATCTCCACGCCCTGAAAAAGCATTGAGTTTAAATTAAAACGCTTTTATGAGTTGCTCAAGATTTGTCCTGGGCCTAGCACTTTTACAACAGTTTCTTGCCAATCTTGGTAAACTTACAACATGTCTTAAAAGATATCTTCTTTTTACGACTCTTCTTACTGAACACAGTTTGCATTTCATCACTGGAAACTGTAGAGAGTTGGAAAAGAAGAATAAGAAAGATGTATTCATAACATAAAGGAACTAATTGTACTTAAAACGATATGTTTTTACCGGTTCAACATTGTTAAATGGTTGAAAATATATTCTCGCGGAGGTTAATAATATTCGTCCTGGGTTAACGACGAGTGGCGTGATTCGCTCGGCCGTTGTTTCCAAAACAATCTTCTCAAACAAATCCTCCAGCCTAAAATTAAGCGATAAGACAAAGATGGCTTGATCTGAGCATTCTCCAGGATGAACGTGTTTTCTCGTGTTAAGACCTTTGCAAGGCATTATTCAGACAATATTTTGCAAACATACCAACTCGTATTGAAGCTTATTTTTGACTGTCTTGACTTTACAATGGTCTCAATCTGATAAAAAACACAGAAACATCTTAACATTGGTTCAACACTGTCACAGTAGGATAACACCCATCAAAAACACTCAAACTGTACTTTTAACATTCACTAAGACATACCATTGTTGAGTGTTCTGAGAACGGCAATGAAGCAGCCCTGAGTAACTGCGTTAATAAAAATAAAACGAGACTTTATTTTACATATTCAGAGATTTTCACAACTGGAACCTTCTTTTAACGATTAACAGCAAAAAAGTACAGACCTGCTGTAACTGATTAATGATGCTGCTTAGTGGAATGAAGTTAAAAGAAAATAAATATTGTTGAGTCTTTTCCTAAAAGATATAATGTAAAATGTTTACAAAACAACATAATACCGCTTGACTATTATGATATATTTGGAGTTACAGGCAAGGATGACGTCAATAACAGTTCTTGATGTTGCGCCTGGTTGCAAATACATACTCGGATAAATACATATGGTGCAATGGTGTTGCCCTCTTTCATCTTTACAACCAAACTTGTTTCAACAGAAAGAACATTTCCTTTTGAGTCAATTCTAATAATTGAGAAATATTGTACAAGGAATAAAGACTATGATAAACTCTGAAGTGTTTACAAACGGTGCTCAATACTAGAAGAAACAGAAGTATTTTATTACCTGGACAGAAGTGGTCCTGTCCAAGGTTTCATGGACTTTATATCTTTAAAAGGGAACTACAATTATACAAACAAGTGTTAAATCTAGTTGTCTAAATGTTTTGAATAAGCTCTTTGTTTTTTTAGAATGAGTTTTGGAAGTCAAGTGGAAATGTAACCAACCTTTAAAATGGGGTAGGCTGTATCCAGGGGGTCAAAGAGGACCGAATGAGAACAGAGTTTTAAACGACCTCTTTGTTTTCTATGAATAATGCAAATGCAAGTTAAATTAAATAACTTTTAAGAATATACATGTATTGTATTTAATGTTGCTCTAAGTTTCATTTCATTTATACTTGGATACCTTTTAACTGCTTCATCTTCTGTTGTGCCAACAGGGTAATAAAATACACTAAAATCTTCAAAGTATATTTCTGCTGGCTCTAATAGCAATAGTGAAAACCTAGAATATAATACAACTCATTTGCATCTCATACAACAAACAGATCTAACTGCGGACGGTTAATTAGGGTGCAACATAACAGATAAGAATATCATCAGCTATAAAAGTTGATCAGAGATCTTTTTGTGACAAACATCCCTCGTGGAAGCAAAAAGGGAAACACTAGTCTCAAACTTCAATAGGGAATGTAAACAGGGATAACTGATAAATCTCAAAAGAAATACACCTATACACTTGTCATTTTCACTATCGAAACTGCTGTGATATGAAATATTTTCATTTCGTATTCATGTGTTGTATTATTAATAAATTCTAATACAACTGTAGTGTAATCTTACGATTACGGAATACAATAAGTCATGTGCTGTATGTAAAGTCATGTACATTATGCCCATACAAAATGAGCCATAACATTATGACGATAATTATCACTTTAACAGGATTAACACAAGATTAAGCTGGTCGAGAATCAACTCGATCTTTCGCATAAATAGTATCAAACGTGGCAGGTTCGAGATTTCTCAATCTCTTAAAAATAGAACAGAATCAATGGTGGGTGACAATAGGAAATCAATTAAATACTGAATACAAATGTTTAACACTTTAGACTCGACATCGGAGATTTCGGATGCTTTAGAATTTATGAATTTAAAAGGATTACCTTTCTTTTAATGCCTCATCGGACTGTATTAGACCACAAGAACTGTCGAATGTTAATTCAGCCATGTTTACAAAATACTTTCAACTGGGTGACCGAGCCTTAGTTAAGAACAGGGTGGGTTCTCCGGAAGTTTAGTGAGGGGGGTGAGAAACTCTTTAAACCGGCTCTTCTTTACCTCTTCTTCTAAATCCGTGCCCAATATTAATTTTTATGATGTAATAACATTTTATGGTTTATTTTTTAGTATCGATGACAATAGTTACTACGAATGCTGCTTCGAGAGCATTTCCGTTCCAAATACTATCCACAGACATCAAACTGAGTTCAAATTTATTCAGGAATTTGTAATTATTTTGCTGGAACTAAACAGCAACCTTATGCTATATCTGTTTACATGGTAGATTGTTATCATAGACGCAACCTTTGTTAGAATTATACTAGACGTTTCCTATAAATCTACAAAACAGGAAACTAAATTGCCATGCATTTCCTAATAGCTGCTATATCAATGCACCCTCGATCAATCAAATCGGCTCTAGTAGATTCCTCCACGATCCAAAATGAAACTGATAAACACTCGTTGCATTTTGAACAAATATACTAAAAGACTGAATCTATTTGCCCGCTCTACTAACATACGGTACGAGATTACGAAACTAATAAACATTAATCCACTGAGATAATTGCGGTTTACCACAGTCCCATATAACAAGCGGTGTATTCAGCTTGGAACAACCGAATGAACTCTACTCTCTCGTCTCTATATTTCCCACAAACACAAGAGCCTACCGCAGTAGACTTCACGGCTATACTCCCTCCAAAGTTTCAATTCACGAACGCATGTACGACTGGAAATTCACATGTAACACATAGAATTTTCAATTTTAGAGCCCTGCGCGTCTTATAAGCTGATAAACATGTAATAACAACTTCAGAGTTAGATTGTCAGAAAAAATGTTCCTCAAGGACAGAGCATGACCGCACAGTCTCACAAGATCGTTTCAAGCAATCCAGATGCTTTTTACATTATGTTTCACAAACTAGAATAGCCATACGTAGATATATTGACGGTCAGAACAGGTTTAAGGACGTCGGCTAGGCTTTGCCACGAATGTTGTCTATTGAGCCAAGCTGGGAACTGTTAATTGCCTTGGAATACCCACGTATTAAGTCCCCGTGTAATCCCTGTTAGCTAAAATACCTAAATTGTCATTATCACCGAAATGTCCGTTGCATTACATCGAAGGTCATCAGGAGAATATGTAAACAGAATTTAAGAACAAAGAAAACTATTATAATATTCAAGAGTCAAAAAGATCTAAAAACCGGAATATATTATGTACCTACCTACACGACCGAGCCTCGCTGACAGACGCCTCTAGATTTATCAGCTTTTCAAAGTGACCAAGATCCCATTTTTCATCCTCGTCGCTTTTTGCGGACGATAGTCTTCGCTTGAACGAGTGCACAATGCCATCAGACTTTTCTGTGAGCAAAGCAATCGATTCTCTTAGTCGATTCACCGTCATATCTCTACGAAGAACAAAGAGTGTCCACACATTACGTTTTCCCGGTTAGTCGAAACGAGGCGAAACCGAAATCTGGCAATTTTGCAACAAGCGAAGGCATTGAAAAACGTCTAGAAAGGCGTGTAAAACAAATGCTGGACAGTTACCAAATTCAACAGACGAATTTTAGCGAGCATATTATTTAAGATGTACATATATTATTTTGTTTTTGTTTCAAACGTACAATTATATGTGTTTGTAGATGGCCGTTTCAGCAATTACAGGCATCAATGCGGAGTAAAACGCGCTGAGCCCGCCCCGTTTCCATGAGACATATCATACGGCGATAAAGATTCCATATTTGAACCGGTAAAAGGACAGTTTTACTCTGGAAGCATGCGATATTATCTGTGAATTTTTTGTGCCCACATAAGCCAATATGCCATCTCAATTTGGATATTTTTTTATCAATTATTCATCACACTCGGTTTGCGGTGACATTAACAACAGCATTGTTGAAAAGCAATGATCGTAATTTAAACAGAGAGTGACACCTCTCTCCAACTGTTAGCACACAAAGGTGCTTTTTGTCAGGCGATGTCAAAAATGCATTTCTAAATTCGAATCAAACCGATTTCAATGCATGTTATTCTAAAAAATTACCAGACAAACGTGAGATTAAATACCTTACTCAGTAACATGCGTTGAAATCTAATGCGTTCAAAACATTTTTTGAACAGTTTGATAGTTGATATTTACAAAATTTCACGGTTACTTTAACTAAGTTACTGTGTAATTGTTAGTACAATTTGTGACCTTTATAACATAAGAAAAAGTTAATATTCTTCACCAAAATCTTGGTTGTATTTTGATAATATTCGACTTTTACATAACTTTTTGTCTTTTTCCTAACAACGCCAATCATTTAGGTAGATTTGACAGAGGATTTGAAGTGATTTATATAAAATACATCGGCATTTTTCTAGCCTAGTATTTCGTATTATAACATACCTTTCAGAAAACAGTTTCATCACCAGATTCCACATTTTGAAGTAGGTCAAACTGACAGAAGTCACCATCCTCTTACATTGACATCAATCAATCAACGATCATATGGTTTAAGTGAAACAATAATAGTGTGTGTACCATAATAAACGTGTGTGTACCATAATAAACGCGTGTGTAACAATGATTAAGTGTGGGAGAAATAAAACGAACGTAACAACAAAGCCAAGTTTCACAGAACACAATATTTTAGTTCCGTTTCTCGAGTGCTTGATTATGAAAGATGAATAACATCATGCAGAGACGTGAAACTGTGAAGTAAACTCCCGCGTGATATGCAGGAATCGACGATGTTGACATAAATTATTACCATAAAAGTCTGTTTACAAGTGAGCAATATAACTGATCAGATAAGGAGTCATCATGAGGGTTCAGAGTAACGTGTCTGTAAGGCACAACACACTAAATTTCATGGCAATAGGAGCCACTTCGTATAGCCAGCCTGATGGTTTAGTATCTCTATGCTAATATGTTAATGTTTACTTTCTTTGAAAACGACAAATTCTCAATTAAGGAAATGAATAACCATAAATGATGAATTACATAATGGCTAGAAGTTCAGTTGGATAACGGGTGGGTATATTATATTGACCTGTTCCAGATAAGCGTTGCTAGGAGAGAAATTGTTTTCATCTTGATTCTATATATATAAAGTGTTCCCACTGGGCGCCGCACCTGAAAACAGAGAGATATTAAGCCAGTCGTTTCCTTCCTTATTCATACAATACATATGCATGGAGTCCAGCTGCTTTTTGAGTACATTTCACCAACCTGGATAGTGGATTACTCATCTCTGTATTCGTAAAAGAACTCGATACTCTCTCCGAAGCAATTCTCAAGACACTTGATCAGCCAGGTTTGAATGAAATCCACAGAGCTCGGAGGGGTGTAGTCATCATCGGAAGACCTACACGAGATAAACACAATAGTCCAGTTACATAACTGCGCGCAGGTGATCACGTACTGTTATGCAAATGATTATACAGTATTTTTACTCCATCGTCACTATATAAGCCGGGCGATCAATGGCCATATATATACCTAGAGGTTTACAATCGGAAGTTATAGATTTCCGCCAATAAAGGCATTCATGTATGTATCGAACCCACCTTGCGACTGTTACTACAGTGGGTTTCGGGATTGAATGTAAAAGATGTTCCATGTTCTTGATCATTTGCAAAATGTCTCGTTCATCAGTGTGATGGACAGGAAGATTAGTTGTCATCCCAGCGGAGTGCAGCTGAAATATCGAAGGGGGGAATACACGACCATATTAGTAGATTCAAGGATAAGGTTTTGCTGAGGGCGGGAAAAAAAGAAGGATAACGGAACAAACATTAACAAACATTAAAATAATGAAAATCTGTTGCTATATCCATAATTGGTATATTGGATGGGTCACTCGCTCCCGTCTAGCCAGACTCTCTTACCATTTCATAATCAATACTTTCTCCGCGCGAATTCCTCCATTTCTCAATGAACTGCATGAACTCTTGATTAACAGACATTGAACGTTTCTCTTCGGCCGATAAATCATGTTTGTTTTCTTTCATGATATTTAGCGTTCTTTCAAGTTTTTCCACGTTATTCTTGTGTTTTTGCGAAGCGTCGATCATGGCCTAAAATTAATTCATGAAATCATTCAACTGTGTCTATCAGCCGTGCTCCGAAAGCTTGAAATTGCATTCAGACTGACTATGCATGGGATGGCTTACATCACAAGCTGAGCTTGGCAGCAGTGGAGGCCTGGGGCCCTGTTGTATCAAGCCCGTTTTTAGCTTAAACGGTGGTTAAGTTCAAAATAGAAAGCAAGTCTATCGTCTTATTCAAAAACCGAACTATTTTTTTTACCTTAATACAAAGATACTGTTTGCAACTACATATTCAGTGCATAATATTCAAGTTGATTCATTCAAGAGAGATGTAAGAGTGTTATTTAATTTTGACTTATCCACCGGCCTCCTATTATGTTAGGCCCAGATCTCCTGCGGGTTTTAAGGTGGGCAAAAGAGCGTTCACAATACAATCTAGCCCGCACTCAGGGCTGTTGTTATTTTTTCACATCCTTAAGCCCTGGGCAAACTAGGAAACATTGTTGCGGAAACATTTATGTTTCGCAATGTTTCCTCATAAGTTTCCCTGTTTGCCCACCCTGGGAAACATTGTTGCGGAAGCAAAATTTGCTTCCGAGGAAGCAAAAATGTTTCCCATCAAATTCAGAAACATTATATGTTTCCCAAGTGTGATTTTGGTTGCGGAAACATTGTTTCCATTTTTGCCCATATATATATGTTTCCGCACTTTTTACCAATTAGAGCATGCGCATAACAAAGAGTAGATATATATTTACTCTTTGCGCATAACAAACAAGTGAAACAAAACAAAAAATGCCTGAAAGCACAATAGCAGTTGTTGTAGACGAACAAAGCAATAATAAAAGGGGTAAAAGCGAACGAGTGTGGAAAGATACTGAAACAGAGAAACTGATAAGTTTGTACGAAGCAAGAAACTGTTTATGGGATGTTGGTAATGCAAATTAGTTTTGGTTTTAAAAAAATAATTGCTTCATAGGACTGATTTCCTCTGAGCGCTGTATATATATTTTTTGTTTCTCACTGATGTTTCCCAGTGTTTGCCCACCCTGGGAAACATTGAGAAACATTGGCGGGAAACAATGTTTCCGAAACAATGTTTCCTAGTTTGCCCAAGGCTTTACGTTTAACCAGATTTAATGAGTGCGAGAAATGCCAAGCATACCTTGGAATACTGACTATAAGTTTACTTGGACTGCAAATGCCTGGGAAGGCAATAATTGAGTTGCAAATTACGCTGATGTTTTCAGTTTTGATGCATGAATTATAACGCTGGGCAAGTGCAACCAGTTCATTCACATATGTAGACGGATTTTGCATAATCGTGGCTAGAACGTGGATCCGTTTCCTTTCTTCAAGGGCGACACACGTTACATGAATGACACTGTGAAGTAAGCTCGCATGCAGCCTTGGCCCTTGCACGAAGTCGACGGTTTTTGTTCAAAACGAATCGATGAAAATGCAAATGCAAATATATTAAATATTGCTTCTACAGTAGATGATAATGCAAATATATTAAATATTGCTTCTACAATTAAGTTTCAGTCAATGACATACATTACAATTTCTAAAGACAAAGGTCTTAAAGACTTAATTGTTTCCTGAGATCTACAAAGTCAACATGCAGGCATCTTGTGTTCCAACCTACATGCATAGCTTGCTTTACAAGACACAAAACTTAAATCCCATAATTATAAACCTTTAAGAATACAACAGAACGTGCATCCATGACAGGATTAACATTACTAACATTCCTTTCAGTCTATTCTTGATTCTCTTTTTTCCGAGCTATTTCGACCCCTTCTTCTTGCCATTTACTGATGCTCTCATTTGGCTTAATCAACGTCAACAGCGTTACGGTGAGACAGTCTCTCATGTACAACAAGAGTGCAACTTCGACGACGAAGTAAAACGCGATGCTGAGCCAAAACTTTCCGAGAATCGCATGAAACAACAATGAAATACTATACCCGACTTCGCAAGCTATAAGATCACCGATAATATTTTGGTACGAGTCGCCTTTATATTCGCCCGATGTGCCGCTAGATTCTCGGTACCGTGCGATGACCTTTTCGCTGTTCTCCAATACTTCCCACGAAAACTCGAACACGAACATAGCTAGGTAGCCGTAGCTCGGTCCAAAGCCGAGCAGATACCACAAATAGTACAATACAACTCCGTGTAAAACGTGTGTAAAACTGTACGGGTCAAACATATACTGAGAAACCTTCGGGCTGTACCATTGAGGAACGAATAACGGCGACCAAACGCCGTTATGCCAGGCCATATTTTAAACGGTGAAAAAGATGTCGATATTTCGCTGTTTGCTTGTTTGAAATTTGAACAGCCTGTGCCGAAGACGCGGTCTTTTATTACAAGATAACAACAGCACACCTGCCGTAGCGTCACGCACACCTGAATGCAACTGACGTAAATTTGTGATTCTGAAGCTCCCTGACGTATGTGAAGTGAAAGGTCTTTGTATTTCGCTTTTTGCAGTAGTAACAGATCTAGCCTGACCCAAAATTAAAGATATTTGGTGACTAACTAGTGTTACAGAGCTTCACAGCCTAGTTTCCGTTTGGTCGTTGGTTAGTTTCATTGACGATGAAAGTAGACTGTTGTTATTCTACTCAGCCAGGACTAATATGATTGAATGGGAAAAAAAACAAACCGCAAGTGTTGCACATCCGGTATTTTTAAATGCACGCAATTAGCAAAACATACCAGACAACGTACAGGGCTCAGTGGCCTATACGTCAGAGCGAACGTCAGAGCATCTGACGAGCGAGCTTTGTCATGTAGCTTCAAGCCCGTTCTCCACTAGGCGAATTTGTTCGCGCGAACAGATAAAAGTAGGAAGCGATCCTATTTTTCGCGGCGAATTTTTTCGCGAGCCAATCACATCACTGGATTTCAGATATCGCTTCGCGTCGCGCGAATAAATTCGCCTGGTGGTAAACGGGCTTATATAATGACATAACGCAGTACTTACGTCCCTAAACAGGAAAACAGCTATAGTGTTTTTCAACCGTTTTCTCTGACGAAATTACACTAGGATTGAAAGTCACGTAGCTGATATATGGCAAATATTTAATTGCTGCAAATGTCATACTCACTGAATGCTCTTCTTGGTGACAATCAATGCCAGGGAATTGGTAAAATTTTCGCAGTTCTTCAAATTCAGCCTGTAAAAAGAGTGGCAGCAAAATTGCAAACATTTTGGATGTTTGTGGGCATGCTTTACATACTTTTGGTTGAATTCAAAATGAATAGAGCAAGTACAAGCCTCAGTAAACATTGTTTTGAAGGGATTGAAGGTGGAGAAAAAGTCCATGTCAATGTCCAGAATGAAAGGTTCCTCCAGCTGAGATGATATTTGACTGATAAACAATTGAATGTCGCTTTTTACTTTCCCATCCAAGCAATCACTTTTATGTGAGGAGATATTTTTTGGCTTGTCCTGAAGGCATACGCATTCATTTACAACCAGATTGCCACCACAAGCCATCATTCCTCCAGGAATATTGACACTCAAGTTTTCTTCTGATTCATTACCACAAGTTAACTTGGACTGCAAACAGTTGACAGGCATTGTAATGACAACAACAGCAAGTTCTTGACAGTTTTCTAAGTCCTTCTCCAATGCACATAGTCCGTCTTCACAGAAATACTTCTCAAAACAGGAGACTCTAGGGGATCATATTTTCACAATAAACTGCAGTGGTTTGTGTTCAAAGTTTGCAAGATCCAATAATCCCGACCAACAATACCCCCGACCAACAATACCCCATGCAATTTTCCACCTAAAATTCAATTACTTTAATGAACATTGAATACCTGAAAAGCCTATTTCATCCCTAACACCACACCTACATCCACAACCTCTGCATTATTACCTTATCGCTCCTTCAGACTTGTGTCGACCAACATGAAACATCAAAGTTTTGTCGGAAATCTGGTTCGACCAAGGTGGCTTGACCCATATAACCTTGCTAATATGTCCAGCGTAAACTGCAGGTAATATCCAATCCGCAATACTAATAACATCAAACAATATCGCTTTGTTATAAACACTTTCAGCTTGCATTTCCAACGGGGCCATCAAGTCCGGATGGGAATCAAAATGCAAAAACGTTAAGCCAGAAAATGGCAAATATTTTGACCCGATTGCTCGGTAAATATACGGCAATACTTCTTGATGATATTCGCATATCCACACTGGGATTTTCTTGTACAGGCGCAACTCTTTTTTGCGTTTTTTGCCCGGTTTTTCTGCGACGTTAAATTGCACTCCTTGGACGCCGGCCATATTGAAATTTAAAAATCGACAGCCCGCACTCAGGCTATACTCAGGGGTAACGTCAGGCCTTATTTTCAGGCGCTGCCAGCCAGGTTAAATGGTTAATAGATAGTTTATTTCATGATTCTCTCCAAAATAGATCAACAACACTATACCTAGTTCTTCTAATACATAAAATTTAGGTTGAAAATTCGAGCTTATGTCAAGCAAGGCATACGGAAGTTAAACCATCATAACCATTATCTATCCATTAAATCATCATCTATCATTCGTTCGCCCGCAAATTGTAAGACGCAAAACGTAGGTCTGTCGGTCTGTTTTCTGCCTTTCAGGCCCCAAGAATCAAGACATAGCACTAATATATTTACTAAATAATTCCAATATTGTCTCTACTTAGTCACTTCGTGAACGCATTCGGCTAAATACTCAACATTTGTTGAACTCACTCCAGCCACCGACATTCTGCCATCTTTCGTAAGATATATTGAAAACTCGTTGGTCAGGCGTTCAACCTTTTAAAAAGAGAAATACCAACTCTATATATTTTGAATGCAAAAGTCCAGTAAGCCAGAATAGTCGGCTATTATTATTACTCAAACCATGCCACTGAAGTAACATTATTTCCACTTTTCGAAACATGTCAATCAAAAATTAAACTCTCACCTGGTCAGGTTTTAATCCTGTGAAACAGAACATGCCAATTTGGTCTGTGATATGCGACCAATCATGTTTAGACCCTAAAAAAGTGCAAGTGATTATTTCCACATCATTCTGCGATATGAGCTAAACACCACTGCGTTGGCATCACATGCAAAGTACCTAATTTCTCCAAATTACTCCTAAGTTGTTCTCTCATTGAGATAATCCTGTCTGCCATGCCTTTCAACTCGACAAGCCATTGCGCCCTCAATTCCTCGTTGTTTAAAATACTAGTAACAATTCTTCCTCCGTGAATTGGTGGACTTGAGTACATCGGACGAATGAGTATCTTCAATTGCGATTCCACAGTCTTGGCCCCTTCTGGCGACTGACAGACGACCGTCAAAGCGCCAATTCGCTCGCCTTTTCAAAAGAAGTATAAAAAAGTATTAAACTGAATATTTCGCAGCATTAAAAGGTTGATTATATAATGCGGCAGCGGCATATAGAAAATGAAAAAAGGAATAAAGTCAAAGACATACTAACCATATAAGCCCATATTCTTAGCATAGGACTGCGTAACAAAAACTGACAATCCTTGGTCGACAAAATACCTCATAGAAGAAGCATCTTTATCGATGTCTCCGCTTGCAAAACCTTGATAAGCCATGTCGAAAAACGGATACAATTCGCGTTTCTATAAAACAGGTTAATCGTCCCCAAAAAGCTTCAAGATTAACGCAATTTAAAAACAGAAATGTCTCGTTCAAATCAGTCTCACTCTATATAATTCAATATACACACCTTCACAACCTCGCATATTTCTTTCCATTGCTCCATCTAAAACGTGAATGAACTTGTTTCAGGTATATTCAAAATAAGGAACGCGTTTTCTACATCAGCCTACTGCATGTTCATTTTCAAACGCACCTTTGGATCGACTCCGGTGGGATTATGAGCACAAACATGAAGTAAAACAATTGATTTCTTTGGTAAATTCTAAAACGGCAAATATTTGCTTCATTTATGTCGGAAAAATTGCGAATATCTAATTGAAAACACGGCGAAAACGGTATAAAAGTTAAGTACGTTAAGATCTTCCAAACAACCATTGAAATCAAAACCACACGTTCCTGCATCATAATATCGATAGGTCTTCATATCAAAACCGGAATCTCTAAAAAACAAGATACAAATTCATGTCTCTATAATCCTTGGTTTCACTCTGCTTATTTCAGTCTCCCAAGTCTAACATCTCATCATGTTGCAAAGTGTTACTGATTAATTTGTCAATTCGGCAGACAGAACAACCTTTGAACATCCAGGGAATCCCCCTCTGATCTATCAGGTTTAGTACTAACCGAAAAATAGGTATATGGTTTCCCCACGTAGGATTGGGCATATAAACCACCTTCTCACCCGGCCAGAATTTTGCCTGTAATGACATTGAGAAATTGGTATAAATATAATTTATTTAATGTAAATTAATTTTCATATATAGTAATTTAATATGATATCCATACCAAAAACGCAGCACCAATTCTCAAGGCACCTGTGCCAGAAATAGTCTGAACAGTTGCATTCTAAATGAAGATTGAACAGTCAATATGTCCGGCTTGACTTATAGGTTGAGGAGATCTATAGGAATGGGACCTGATATAACAACAATGAGAAACTTGAATGCAAAACCCACAAGAAAAACATAGAAAATAGTTCAATCTGTGGAATGCGACATAGTGACAAAAATAGAATATGGGATAGTAAATACATATCAATACATCTACTTGTTTTAAAAAACTCACCAGACCATTCATATCTTTGCCAAAAGCCAGTTGTGCAGAAGCCTTTGCAAATGCAGGCATCCCAGCTATTGGTGCATATTCCTTGTCAAGGTTTTCTGAAACTATCATACTCTCCGCCTAAACAATAAAGCTTAATTATTACTCATACATAGTCCTCACATATGCTCTATGTTTTAACCATTAGCTTGCTAGTGCACTATTCTATCTGACTTAATTTTAACTAGTGGCATGAATCAAGTTTTTATGTGATCAAATCAGCCATCTTCTGAAGTACCTTCTTAACAACAGGTAGAACATATGGTTTTCCTTGGTTATCTCTGTAAGCCCCGGCACCAAGATTAACTTTCTTAGGATTTGGGTCTTTTTTGTATGCCTCAGTGATCCCGAGAATGGCATCTGGTGGACCCATCTCAATATGCGACCACCATGAAGAACTATTAAACATAAAGTGAAGTTAAATAGTAGGGGTTGCCACTTGCGAATATCTATGCATGGTGAGTCCAATGGTAATGATAAAGTGGACCAATTTAAGCAACTTAATCAAGACCATTTTTGTTCCTGGCATATCAGCTAACATTTCAGTTAACGCTCGTTTAATGTGGCCTGCGAAAGTACTCTTTAAAAACGAAGGTCCCCAACAGGAACCAATATATGTAATCAAGTACAATATTATAATCAAGTAATCAAGTACCGATTGTCCGACTTCGATATAATTTTTGCCATTAGCTTGTCTCAGAAACGCTTGCTTTTTTATATTAAACCCAAGTAACAAAATTACTCAAATGAATAGTACAACAAAATTCCACAGTACAATTTTACACGTGCGTCATCAAAGGCAGTCATGAATATGGTAGGGGCAAAATTTTTCAAATCCAACATTTATTTACCTGGCTCTGTTGACGACACAAGAGAAACCTGAGATGGAAGAAAGTCTAGACTTCAAACATCGTCCAAATTTAAAACCGATCATATCGAGAAGTAATTTTTTGTAAAAAGTCTTCTTTTTTCCCTCTTCTTCCAACTTTCTACTGGTTAACCGGTTGCCCTACCTATTCGTCCCGGTGCTATTGTTTGCCACACGGCGCCTTATTTGAAGTATTCCCATGTAAAATAAAGCACACGTGGATGGCATTTGTGGGCTCAATTGATTGGATTATGATTATGATTATGGATTAGAATGAATTAGATTAATATTTAGAAATTGTCTCAATTCATTGAGTGCTATAGCCCTCTCCCCAGGTCTTAGGTACAGTTGCTAAGTTTTAAAAGGAACAACAAAAAAGATTTATCCATGACCATATTGATTTTCATACTATTTACAAATTAATTTTAATATATACACAAGTAATATATACACAAGTAAATAATAGTCGTAAGATTTGTTGTAAAAGAGTTGACAAAATTGAAAAAGCCTTACATCATAACAAGTCAAACTAATCTATAAACATATTTACATAGTTTTTATCCTGCAATACAGTTCATCAACAAGGTTCCCTAATTTCCCTTGTCTGCGATCATTGGTAAAAGTGTTGCAAAGATCTCCCCTTTCAACTGCACAGCACAGCATGCCGCACCTTCCAACCTTGACGGCATACACACAGTGCTGGTGATAGTCCAAGTACCTTTCCTGGAATCATAGCATTCAACGCTGTCCAAATAACTACCATGAAGATAGCCTCCAAACACATAGATGCGATGACCCACGGCTGCAGCACACGACCTTAGCCTTGCGATGTTCAACTCAGCAATTGTGTTCCACTGGTTAATCTTGGGACAATACACTTCACAGGTTCGGAAATTTGTCTGAATAGTTGGGCCCTCAGTGTAGACATTGAGCTGACCGCCAAACACGTATATCTTTTGGTTAAGCTCAACACCGCATGCTCCGTACCGCTGAGTCTTCATAGGCATTACAGGAAACCAGGAATCACACAAGGGATCATATCGCTCAACACCCTTCAAGACTTCAGAATTGTCTTGTCCACAACATCCACCAATGGCATAAACAAAGTTGCCACATGCAATCAGACAGTGACCCTCTCTGGCTTGCATCATTGGAGATAATGTCTCCCAGTTGTTGATGGCTGGGCTGTAACGTTGAACTGTGTTGAGGGTCTTGCCACAGAATCCACCTGAGATGTACAGGTAATCCTTCAGGAATGCAACCGCTACCCCAATATGACCACTGCACATTGGTAACAATCGTTTCCAAGGCAGCCCGGGCTGGTTCAAGTTGAGACATTCAATACACGAGTCATCAGCTGCAAGGCTTCCACCAACAGCATAAACAACATGACCATGCACGGCAATACCATGGCGATAACGAGCTATGTTCATGTTCTTTAACAAACACCACTTATTAAGCGAAGGAAAGAAGCAAAAAACACCAGCTGTGCCACCTTTTCCACGTTCCCAACCACCGACAACCAATATAGCCTTGTTACCATGATAACCAACCGGCTCTCCTTGGCTTGCCAGATCATCACTATTTATAGCCATGACATTAATGCTTTGGACTGCTCTTTTTAGGATATCGCTACTTTTTGCATACTCACGACTAGAAATAACTGTGGAGATATAACCATCAGGCAGACAGGTTAAATCTATGTAGTTAATTAACTGGTCCAAATGTTTCGCCCTTAACGAAGAGTTGTGATCGATCCATTTCAAAGCTGCATCAATAGCTTCACAATCACTGGCTGCAAGTCCCTCGCTTCCTAATAGTTCAATGATATAACTCACATCCAAACTCAGAAAACCTTTACTGTTTGTTATACTAAAGAAGCTTGCCAAAACCAGTTCCTTTGCTTTGGCTCGCAGCCTCTGACACTGGTACCGATCAGCAAAAATCCAAGTGGACAAGCAGTTATCAAAATTCAAGTGCTCGTTTAGAAAATGATTTTCTGCTAAATTCTTCAGTCTCCCAAGCATCAGATAGTCGGCGGCGATGATCAGGTCAAAACTCTTTTCAGCAGATAAAACTATATCACCGATATAAATGTAGTCGAGAACATCTTTCAGTACTTTTACATTCATACCGTTTAAACGTATTTTGTACTGTTCTCTTTCCTTCATGGTCGAATTGAGAAGTCGTTCAAAGTACGGACTGCTGGCAGCAAGTACATTTCTGTGCGCAAGCATCTCGCCTTCCTCAACCAACAAACATACATCGCAAAACGTTTCTGCCTGGCGGTACTTGTTCAGCGTTTTCATTATGGAGTGGCTGTATTCAAGGTTGCTCAAATTCTCCTCGCATGTTGACGGTGACTTGCCCTGAGCCTTATCAACGTAGTTTTTTATCATAACATCCATTGTGGAACGCCTCAAAGTGGAAGCCATCTTGGTAATTTACAAACTGTGACCGCGTGTAACAGCGAGCTGGGTACCAGCTGATGATGACGTCATCGCGTGACGTCAAATGGTAGCTAAACGTCATCCAGCGACGTCATCATTACTTACTTTAGTAATTGCATTCATTTACCCCTTGATTAAGCCACCATGGGTTAAAAAAAATTTCTTATTAATTCGCTTGTGGTACATGAGTGGTGGTACACACTGACCTATATTAGATCAGTGATATAATTAGATCTAATATAGGTCAGTGGCGGTACATCACTTATTTTCTCGTACTTTTCCTATGAATGATATATTATCATTCAACAAATACTATAATACTGCAACCAGGAGACTAACTTCAGTGGACCCACACGCATCTCTTTTGGTGAGATGGAGGAATTTTCAAGCATTTCTTGATCTTTTCACAGCCCGGAGGTGCCCAGTTCTAAATAAAATATTGAGCATGAAAACATCTGAAACTGTGGCTAAAGGACCTCCACCCAGAAGCCTCCCACCACTTACCATCACAGCTGGATCACACCAGTTCAGTTGTGGTGTTCCACGTTTCATTTTTGACTTATGTTCTTCAACTATATTATCAATCATAGTCATGGCTGTCTTGTATTCCTCTGCATCATTTCTAAACCAGATGAAGGAAGAAATATATTTGCATGGCTGAGGTGATACCATGCAATATACTGTACCATGCATTTACCGAGAGCAAAGGTCTCAACATCGCCAACATTCATGTGAATTAACAAAGTGAAACATACCGTATGGGATATTTTTCCCCAGGATCTCTTCCCAAATGGAATAGTTTTGGTGAAGATGTGTAGTTCATTTGTTCATGAGTTGTTATATTTGCCACGCATTCACCAGGACAAAAATTCACACCCTTGAAAACACATTAATTTGTACAAATCAGAACCAGTTTGTTAAGTTTACTAGAGAGGAAATTTCATGTATATACTAACTTCTTGATACTCCGAAAGACTATTTGTCCATGTCCAGTAATGAGCTTTACATGAGCCATATCTTACAGCCATCATTTCGTCTCCACGGTAGTAAAATATTGGCCTAAATGACAAGAAATGAAAGCTGAACAAATGCTGATATCTTCAAAACCAAATATCAAGGGTAATCCATACGAATTTACGTAAAAAACAAACCTATCAATATGCTTATTTTGTGTTAAAACTGGCAACAAATTGATTCCATCTATAATGCGATCAGTTGGTGGTTCTACATTTGCCAAGTTCAACGCAGTTGTGAATATATCCATCAGAGATATGGACTGCTGACTCATCTAAAAATATGAAAAGTGTCTCAAGTCAGAACTTTGGATTAATTCAATGACATGCATTAGGTATCAGTATATATATGACTGGCCTGTAGGGGAATTAACTAGAGATATGATGGATACTAGAATATGAAACTGTAAGTACACAAACCTGACCAGGCTTTATTTTACTAGGCCACCAAGCAATTGTTGGTTCTCTCATCCCGCCTTCAAATGTTGTCTCCTTACCACACAGAAACGGACCATTTATCCCACCTAAAACGTATATATACGGAACTTTTTTACCAAATTTTTATAAACTTTATATTTTCCAATGTTAGGATGAAAATTTCTACTTGTTAACAGTGCCCATAACAAAAGTTTTCCTTTATTTCAAAACATACCATTGACCTTGGCATACAAAGCTGCTCCATTATCTGAGGAAAAGATCACAAAGGTGTTATTGTCAATTTTAAGATCGACCAATTTTTGGAGGATCCTGCCAACACCACTGTCTAGTTCCAATACTGCATCACCGTACCTGAACACAGTAAAGTTAACCCTAAGAAAACAATTCACCAATGAACCACTTTACAATTAATACTTGATGGTTTCGATTCAATACTAGACTGTTTCCTGACACACTTCCAAATATAACACAATTAAATGTCTTACTACAGCAAGATGGAAACCTGAACAGAATTGTATCTCTATGACACCTACAATCCACGGTTGCTCTTCTGTAAAAATTCCTCAGATGCATAAAGTGGAGTATGGGTGGCGTCTGGTGCCCAGTACAAAAAGAATGGACCCTTTTCCTTTGAAATGAAATTCAAGGCTTCCTAGAATGGTTATTTAAAATAAGATGGCAATATTTGAAGTTTGCTGGCCATCAGTTTCTGTGAAAACATGATGCTATTAAGCCAGGCCACTTAACAGCTATCCTGGCTTCCTACCTCTATATATAACTGGGTTAGGTTGGATTCCCCAGTTTTGGGATTGATAGGAAACTCCTCATAATACCTTCCTATCATGTACTGATCTCTATACACAGGAATATTAGGCAACGAAACATCATTATACGGTCCAAAATGACAATTTGGTGCACCAAACCACTCATGAAATCCATGTTTGAGAGGATGGTACTGTGGTTGCTGACCTAAATGCCTAAAAAGAGAAAGAAAAGTCTCAGTGAAAGATGCCATACAAAGTTTTCAGTCCAGTTACATTTGTGCCTCCCAGTTATGCTATAAGCACAAATACATCAATCACCACTTTCCCACAATCTTATTCTTATAGCCAGCTTTTTGTAAAAGTTCAGGCAATAAAATCTCATCATCTGGGATCCCACCAACAATATTTTGTGGAGTATAACCTAGAAAAGAAAATGTTGAATACATGGTTTGCTTCTTGCTAGTCTAAAGTAATTGTATCATTTTGAACAATTATATCAAGAAATTTTCTTTTCACAAAAAAAATAAAAGTTCATGGTATGTCAAACAGTCAAAGATCTAACATAGTAAACATACCATTGCGTGCATGTGCATTTGTTGTGTAAAAACCATTCCTGACAGGCAGCCGACCAGTGAGTAATGCAGCTCTAGCTGAAACCATATGATGGTTGGTTAATCATACTTTCAAATTCCAGGGGTTAGAATCACATTATTAATTGGAACAATTGGCATCATGGAGAGGGCGTATATACCCATGTACTCCGTCAGTGCCTAGGGAAGAAGCTTATATCTTTTCAGCATGAAACCCTAAAACATGCAGCTGTTATATGCACTTACATGGTGAACACAGTGGATTTGCAGAGTACGCATCAGTTAGTACCATCCCTTCACGACCCATCTTATCAATATTTGGTGAGCCCCCACTGGGATTGCCAAATATACCAAGATCCCCCCAACCCATCTAGAAAGAATGATCGGAGACTTTGGGTCAGCCAGAACAGCTAGCATGATGCAATTAAAATGGTACCATACATAAACAATTCTCTCTAGATAGCACCATCTACAGGCACACGGTACATACGTACATCGTCCATAAGCATGACTATGATATTTGGTAGTTTGTCCATTTCCTCAGCTTGTAAACTGCTGCAACAAACAAGAAAACAAACCACGGAAATCCTCAACATGATTGCTTTACTTTTGGCAAAATAAACCAATCTCGAGGACTAATTTGCTTGATGAAAATTTCAAATTTGAAAGTGGAGGCACTGGCTGAAAGCCTGAAACAAAATGGCTGTTTGTGTCGCTGTAATAGCGAAGGAAGTAAGGCAATCTAAATGCTGAATAACTTCTCGAATATTTCTTTTATTCACGTTTTATTTGCGGGAATTGTTTGGGCTAATCTCGAGGATTTTTTCTTGCTAGAATCACCCGCTATTCTTGCGGACAATGTCTCCAGAAGAAGAGTTGAAATTTCACTATACGGTGCACACCTCCCTGGATGTCGTCGAAGAGAAAGGTAGGCTTGACGAAAGTTTAATCACGTAAAGATTTTCATGGATATGGTCTGAAAAATGAATATAACCATCGGTATTTCTTATAGCAGAGAGTATAGCAGAGCTCAATTTCGGAGAATCGTGCTGCTTGATGACGTCATGATGACGTCACGACGAAGGTTTAAGCTTAGGATTATAATTATCAGGCTGGGAAAATCAACTCTCCCAAGAGCGAGCTTTCCACACCAGATTGGCTGCTTGCTGGCTTCAAGAATCCCTTTTTAAAAACGTCATATTTTATTATCTATTTTCATCAATCCCTTTTTAAAAACGTCATATTTTATTATCTAGTTTCATCAATCCCTTTTAAACGTCATATTTTATTATCTAGTTTCATCGTTAACAAAAAGCTCAAATGACCCGCGAGAGCTTTACCTGGGTTTGCTGTATCCAACAGAAGATTATAAAGTGTATCCTAAACTTTATATCCTGTAGTTTATGCCTTAATTTCATGACAAAGATCTGAACAGTAATGAATCCAAGTTCACTACATTTTCTTTCTTAACACAGAAAGATATGGCTATGTTACGAACACCAAGATCAAATTTGTTGTTGTAGTTGAGTCAGCCAACAACCTATTAAGAGACAATGAAATTAGAATGGTGTGTATCTAAACAGGTTTAACACAGTTGTAAAGTGAGTTTTGTCTTTGACCTGATTTTCTCTTCCCCTAGATGTTTCAACGTCTCCATGTCGCATACACCGATATGTTCTGCAACCCATTTTATAACCCTGGAGAAAATATCACATCCAGGTTAGTTTTGTATGTTATCGGATATTTTCCTCTATCATTATGATATTTCTGTTTATGATCTTTCAGGCGATTCGAAAAGATTGTGGAAAACATGATGAAGCAAGACTAGAGATTCCAGGAAGACATGCTTTGTTGAAAGTGATGTCTCCTTTGTAGACAGTAGAAGTGTCACTTCCAATGCAGACTAAACCAGAGATTGAGACCACCAAAGTCTACTCAGTTTTGCATAAAAATTGCAAACCAGGGTCAAAATATTTGTAAATAATTTGCCATGCATCGATAGCAAACAACTTGATGATGAATTAAAGTTTATGTTGTCCCTATCACAGCATAGTTACCCACATTTGCATGGCACAACACAAAATATGTGCTAAGTCATGTAATGGAAAGTTGGTCATAAATGGAGCACACACAATATTTTCAGGAGACAGGGAAATATTTATTTTTAGCATCAAAGTATACACAAACTGCTAGGTATATAGTTCTCATCTGTCCTAAGAATCAGCAATTCCCGTATCTCTATGATCTTTGCTACCAGTTTTTCTGATGGAAATGAATACAACAAATCCCTGATTCTTAGGACAATTGTGAACCAGACCAATGCATATTGTGGGAAAACAAAATTCACCAATGTGATGAAATATGACCAGGTTTGATATTTCTGTCTTCCTCATCAAAACAACTGATCTTCCTTTTCCACAGTTCTTTAACCATCTCCCAAGTATAAAGAAACTGAAGTCAAATCCATGCTATACAATGACAGATCTTAAACTCAAATTTTGATTACAACTTGTTCCTGAATTTGACTTCAGAATAAGTATTTCTTGACTTGATTTTTCCTGGAACTCCTGTTTCTGTTTAAGATATGGATTTCAAAGATAATCAATTTACACTATACACAATGGTAAGTCTCTCATGGCCTTTTTTATCCAAACATTTTTTTCTGTTTTTCTAACTTTATCTCTTAATATTTTCTCTTTTTTATTTTCTTTTTTTCTTTTGTTTTTTTTTCTTTTTTTCATCTATTTTTTCCCTTTTTTTTCATCACCTTCCTTTGTTACAACCTTTAGAAATTTATTAGAAAACATAACTGAAATACCACAGAAGAGCAATATTCCTGGAAGTGTCTAGAGAGGAAAATACAGAAAGGAGTCTTTACACAAAATATCCAAGTAATAATCACCTCAAAAATCCACGGAAGGGCAACATTGGCTAAAAAACAAAAAACTGTTAAAATTAGGGCAGTTAAAGTTTAATCTTGTTAAATTATTAAAACTAGGGGAATGAAGGACACAACGAGTTTTTTTAATACAGAAAGACATAGAAAATTAGGAGAAAATTTAAACAAAAATTAATCAACTCAAACCATCCAAATAAATAACTTTGTTGTCCATTCAGTAGGGATACCATCCTCTTCGCCGAGGCCTAAGAATAAAACACATTTAGACAGTTACTTATTTTGTCTGTTTATCATATGAGTATCACAGAAAAGCCATGAAAGCTATCGCATATTGATGATCATGTTCCTTAAATACAAGAATGTTTCTCTTTCGTACCTATACATTCCACGTCCTCGAATCCTTGGTCTGTAACCTGGATAGTACCCAGGACTATGAAAACCACGAGATCTACCACGTCCCCGGCCTCTGGAGAATCCACGGTCTGTTGAGCTGATGCCCGGTTGGTTGGTCCTTTTTGGTACAACCTGAATTGAATTGAAATGCATATCAAAAACTACTGTCAGACATATATACACAGCAAACAACTTTGCTTCAAACCTTGATCTGTCGACCTTTAAAAAGCGAGTCTGTTAAAGCAGTGGAATTGTTCACGCTTTCTTTGTCGGCAAATTCAACGTAGGCAAAACTAAAATATATCAGAAAAGAGAAAATTTTAACGCTAGGAAAGCTATCTGGAATTTGTTAGGACAATGATTTTATCCCGATGCTAGCTCACCCCTTTGGATGTCCAGTGTATTTATCACATAGTATTGTTACTCTGTTTACTGATCCACATCCGTGGAAATGTTGTTCAAGTTCTTCGGCAGTTGCAGAATAATCTACCTACAAAACACAGAAGAATGAGAGGAAATATGGAAGAATTACTAATGGGAACATTCTGGATGCATAAATTCATCGGTGAAGGAAAGGAAATTGTCTGGAGAATGTCAAGGTGTGCATCTTAATATAATATCATTTTCAAAGTTTCTTACATTTCCAACATAAACTGATCTTGCATCAACCTCTTGTTTTTCTTCGAGAGTTGGAAGTGCTTAAGAATAATGGACATTTCCATATGAGCATAAAGAGGGAAAAAAGCACACAAAAATATAACATTCACAAGCGTTCATTTGTGAGATGTTCATTTCATCACCTGCTGTAGTTGGGCTGGCGCTTAGATTCAAAGATCCTTCAATTTCTTTCTGCATATCTTTCAGTTTTTCTGCTTCTTCCTCCATTTCCTTCACTCTAGCTTTGATTGCTTCAAGTTCCTGGTCGAAAATTATTCACTTAATCACACTTTGAAGATCATCAGGTGAACAATCGTCAATTGATCGATCATTATCTTCTTGCAACGAAACATATGAATGAAAATAATTTCAGATGAACTTACCGGGTCATCAACGTCGTTTCCATGATCTCCGGAGACATCCAAAACATCGAGACTTGGATCTAAACTTGTTTCTAAACCTAACACACCGTCGTTGCTTGACGAATCTAACCGTTCTAATGACTTGGGCCAACTAAATTCCCCATCTAGGCCTGGAGACTCTGAGATGCTGTTTTCACGACTCCTGGAGTTCGAATCTTCGTCGGCCATAATTTACAGATTTGGAAAAGAATTGCCGATTTAGAAAAAAATAAAGACAGGCCCGTTTATTTCGCTCTTTTAAAACAGCAATGTTTAAAAATATAGACGGATGGCAAAGGATTGAAATAGTAAACAAATATAAATCTTCTTTATTCTTTATTTCGATTTTGGAGGAGAAATGAGCCTGCAGTTTTAATATTTTGACCATTTGTGAGAACGGAAGAACGTCATTTTGCTAAAATATAGTGAAAATGTTCCAGAGCCTTAAATGCTGCGAAACTTACCGAGAAGCCATGGGTACTATCGGGTTTTGAGGCATACAGGGTGAACAGAAACCTCCTGAACCCAGCGAGCTTTCCTGAGCCAATGCTCTGAACGCGTAATTATCGAGTTATCGGTTTTAACTAGTTCACTGATAAAGGGACTATCAGCATACAACCCCTCATGACGCCCTCGTCAGGAGAGTCAATATTTTATTGCTAGTTTTTAGCCAGGTTTCTAAAGCTTGCGAGAGCCAGTCCGTATAGGCCAGGACAGGTGAGTGAGTATGCTGGGCCCAACCTTGTTTACGGCCTCCTCCATCATAACACGTATATTGAGTATATTTTACCACATATCATTTTTTCAAAAAAAAAGTTTAACAGAAAGTTTTAGCCACGTTAAACCTACCATAACCCAATCCCAATCTACTATAACCCAATCCCAATCTACCATAACCCAATCGTAACTTTCTATAACCCAATCTGAACCTACCATAACCCAAATCTTAATCTATCATAATCCAATCTTACCTACTATAACCAAATCTCTCTAAAAGGACAACTAAATTAACTCTATTATTTACAGTTTTCAAGTGTTATTTCAGTACTGAAACTACCGTAGGTTAATAATTAAGCGAGAGACGATGTTTGTTCCAAGGTAAGTCACTGTAAATATCAAGGTTTTTGAGTTGGCCTAGCGAGGGACTTACGGGATGTCTGGGAACTCCAGGGATGGACATGTTTGATCACTATCTACCGGCAAATAATCCTCTAGTGTATGAGCATCGCTTCGTGGATCAATCAATTCAATAGCAGAATACGTTTTCCCTGATCTTATCTGGGCTCCTTGGGTAGTTATTTCACCTGGCCACTGGGATTTTGAGGTGGCGAATGATCTGTGGTCCTTTTCCTCAGCCTGCCAGCCTTCAGCTAAGTTTAACACGTACTCCTGGTCCCCGCCCGCCTCCAGCATGCCCGGCACATCCCAAGTAAATGTATCCTGATACTTCATTTTGGCCGAACTCAACGCGGCCTCATTGCCACCTCCAACCACTCGCGTGCTTTGAAAGTAAGGCCCTGGGGAGGACTTGAGTAAGGTATTTGGAGCTTTCACGCTAGAACTGTCCGGGATAAGTTCAGGAGGACCGAAAATTTCATTCGTGTTTGCTAGAGAATGCTCGTTACTGCCGACTGCATTCTGACCGTAAGCGCTTGCAGAAAGACAGGACTGTTTAGGCTGAAATATTATGTCAGCCATTGTCTTTTGCACTGAGCGTTGACTTCTGTCCTCGTGGTTCCGTGCAGCGGTGTGAGAGAGGAGGAAACTTGATGTAACAGGACTAACAGCCTCGGAGGTAAACCTGCCAAGTAATCCACCAGAATGCCTATTACCGGAGGTTGTACGCAACTTCTTGCGGGCTAACACCTGAATGTGGCTTGCGACCTGTTTTCGCGACCTTACTTTTCCCGTTTTCATATATATGTAACGAGATATGAGCTCGTTTCGTCCGTACATTTTGTCCTTCGCTGAGAGCATAATTTTTTGCCGTCCACAAGGCGGATAAATTGCAAGCGCCTCTTGAAAGCTCTTCTCAATCTCTCCAGTCCATAATCCATCTGAATCATCGCTCATATCTTCTGTGGGTCAGTCGTTTTCGGCTGAAAAACAAAAATCATAAACTGTTCTCAGTGAGGCCTGATTTCCACTTCTTGTGTGAACCCCTAAGTTCTTGTGAATCTGTGATAAAAGTTGAATTTTCCTAAAGTAAACTCAAACGTTTCAAAATAAAGATTACGTGAACAAAATCGTGGTCGGAAAGCCGGCTCAGTGTTATAACTGACTGCCTTCATCAAATACTTTTTTCAAGCAAATTTTTCAGCATATACGAACTTTTTCTTCCGAACGAACACATTGGAAACCGTATAAAATATTAAACCGACTTTATCAATCGACCAAAATCCTGCATTCTAAAAAATTTAAGGAGGAAATCTATTAAACGAAATTTCAAGCAAACTTGGGGTATCTATGTAATATTAGTGCGCTCATAATTCCTGTGACAAAGATATCCGTTAATAAATAAACTGCGCTACCACACGAAAACTAAACTTATAGAATATAGACGGAATATTTTTGGATCAACCGAGCAATGATGTAGGATTTTCATGTTCTTTTTATTTGATAAAATTTGATTTAACGACATATGCTTCTCGTTCAGTTGTTAAAGTTAATTAAACCTCTTCCCTACATCTTCAACATTCGTTTGTGGCTACGTGTTAATTCATTTTCATGGTAGCAACTCAATTCTTTAAGAATGAGACTAAATGTGACACAATGAACGAAAAAGTCAGTGATTTAACGACTTCACAATCTACTGTAGTCCTTTCCTATGTTGAACTTAGGACATAACGGGTGCGCGCTGGGGTGATTGATAACTTCTAATAACGTTATTGTCGTTAGATGATTCAGTTCGACTAACCTTACAATATCCGATTAGTTTTCAACGCTATACAGACATACCAAACCACGGTCAGATTACGGTCGTTAGCGCTCCTGAACTGACAAATGAATCTGTGTGGATATTTTCCAGTTGAACTTGACCTCAAAAGTGGATACAATATTTCAACTTTATATGTATCAAAAGCCGTACGAGTCACCTGTGATTTCGTGTCAACATTTGCATGCTTGATTTCCCGCGATGAAATCGTTTGACAAGCGTCCATCAATAATTTATACGTACGTCGTTTGGTTGCAAAACACTTTATTATTCCGCCCTTGTATGCCTATGAAACTGTTAACACTGATCTCTTTGGATTGAATTCCAAATGTATTGCAACAGGCAATGTGGAATTTCCCAGCAATGGCTGTAGACGAGTTTCATTAATGATTTTCTCAAACCTGAAATATTTAGGCATGAAGATCACCAGATCACAAATTTGAGATATTTCAGTTCAAACATGTTTCTTTACTTCCCTTGTACATTCAGCTGAATCATTGCGATCAGCCAAACTGAGGAATGTCAAGCTGAAATATTTTTAGTGTAAAAGTCTGCATGTACAAGCCAAAATATTGAAAAAAATAAAACCATGAAAAGCAACCAGATTTCCTCAAACAAGTTTTATTTTGGCGCTGTCCATGCACTATAGCATTCGTTTGTTTTATTATAGAAATCCACTCGACAAGATCTCTCCGAAACTGTAAATTTAACGGAATTTCGTAGCAGGTTATGGAGGGTAAACTGACGGGTTTTCTTACTTTTTGCAAGGCAGCGAGCAGAGAAATGTGTGTCAATATTTGTGAAGTAGGGTCTAATTACTCAGTTCTGTTGTTCTTCATTTAAAGCGTTTTCCTGAAGTGCCATTTCGATTGACACGTTCTTCGTATATTTCTCAATCGTTATTGCTTTCTATAACGTTGAGTTTTCGGATTTGTCTCATGCGTGTATTTGGCATAAAAAAATCATCTACACTTTAATATTTTGCAATCAAAAACCTCAATCAATTGCCTTTCGAAGCCATTATGTAGTCTTTCAATGTACAAAACTCATACGCAATTTGCTGGTGGTTTGGTTGAAATCATTGAAGCCATAAATTGACGGTACCTTTATAGTTCTACGCGGGTGTAAGAGAATGTTCGAGAACCTGCATATGAGGGACCTTGAAATAACAACAGGAAAAGGTTTGAAAGAGCGATAAAACAACGATCCGAACATCTGAGGTTTTAAACACACAATTATTTAATTGATGATAAATAAATCAATAACGTATTGCTATATGCTACTCATGCAGTTTCTATATATGCGGCAGAACAAATCCAATACAGTTTTAGACCGTATCAGAAAAGCACAACCACGTTAAAGAGTAAATTTTGCTTAACTTAAATGAAATAATATACAGTGGAATATTTATAATTATACTTCCAGTCAGTGAAGACTCACATGTTCACAATATTTCTAAATCTATCTCACTCCTATGCCGATAAATTAATCCTAAAATCCTTTAACTACGCTCCTTCCTATCACCTGACAATGTAGTAGCCTTGAACGTATTTTCTTCACTTTTTTCCCCTCGGAATCTCGCAATGCGGTCCCCTATACTCATCCGGACATTCACACACGTAATCATTAGAATTCTCCAGTGTGTAACATTCTCCACCGTTTTGACAAGGATTCGGGTAACATGGATCTACAACTAGAGGGGCAGTGAAACATACTTCAGACTACAGAACCATGCACGAGGTGCTCACGTGAACCTGATACACATACTGCTACGGTGAAGTCTCGCAATACAATTGCAACGAGAACCACGCTAATCTCGTACCTTTGGCTTCAAGAGAAAACCTAAGCAGCATTCAGCCGTTATATCTAGATCAGTCGCTATGAAAAGCAAGCCCCGGTTAGCCCCGGGTAATTATAGTTCACTGTCCCCAGGCACTCACGTTATCTTTGGCCACTGATATCTATACGATAACTGAATGCAACTTGAATACCCAAAAGACTTGATACACTAAGTTGTCTTACCTGGCTTTTCAGTCGTCGAAGCAGCTCCTCCGCCAATGCAACCCTCAGGTACTAGAGAGAAAACAAAAATAATCAGAGAGTATCCTGAATGTGCGATACAGCAGCGGAAATAGATAGAAGCAAACATACAAGTACTTCATTTAGCTTGAAAGAAAGACTCGTCTTATAAAAATATCATCCAAGTCCATTAGGACTCGTTAATTTACTTGCCTTCAGGCATGACCTCGTAGATGTAATTATGATGTTCTTTTCCTACACATTCATTAGGACTGTCATCAACGCATTGTGTATAATTGGGACGATAACCCCAACAGCTTTTAGCCTTTTTTGTTTCAAATATTTCCTCCGAATGCTCCCCTGACCAACACTCGCCAAAAAATTGCAATCCATAGTAACGATAGCCTCTTTCCTTTGCCAATTCAGCACATCTTTAACGAAAAATTTGGCTTCAATACATCTTATATCTGCAATAAGGTCAACAAGCTTTACATCGTCTCTCGATCAAGGTTCAGTTTGATGCTTCTCTTGTGAGTATACTTATCACTACAACATAGGGAATCTAACAAACTTTTAGATCTAATGATTCAATCCTTCCCGCACTAGTGTTCTTCCAAATGAGTTTCTCAAAGACACGGTAAATTCGGGTCCTCGTACTAAGAGGAAAGGCGTGAAGAGCCTCTTTAGAGTTCTTATCCTATTCGTACAATACCATTACTGCGGAAAAACTAAACTAATGCTAGTTGTGGTGCACTCCAGTGACTAACCTGCAGGTCAGAGCTTTCAAGAAATCATGCCAACCGTCGTACCAGTCTATTCGGTCACGCCAGTTCAGCAGCAGATCAGGAAAATGACGTTCAGAAGAGATCCTAGTATAGGAACCTGGGTCTTTATAGCAGCCAACCTTAGTGTACTTCACTTTGCACGGGCATGGCACTGAGGAACCATTCACTATATGATGATAATTAGTAAAAATTCAGTCGAATCAAATCGTTGATCGATTAAGCCTAGCATGAAATCGTCTCTTTTGTCGCGCAAATAGTCAAGTCTTTGAAACGTCTCTTTCTTACAGTACTTGTTTCTGATTTCTATATCTCTTATCAACTCTCCTAATCATTTAATGCAAAGCGAGTAATCTGATTGTTACATCCCACATAATAATAAATATATCTCAGAGCAGTACTATAGTGCCTTTAAAGTGGGTACAAAGATTACATTCTATAAGATTCAAGTTCGATAACCTATTTTCAAACTAATAATTCCAAGAATATATTCTAGAACGAAAAACTCATACCTGCAACGATTGAAAGAATCCCCAAACATAACACGAACATTGGACGAAAGGCGAGAGCCATATTCCTCACAAAATACCTTCCTTATATATTTCACCGTTCTTTCTCTGGCTAGGAAGACCACAGCAATCTAATATTCAAGTGCGAATTATTCCTACAGAGTCGCGAGCTTTTTTTATATGCGAGGACTGTAACAATTAAAATTAATTGAAAACAAATTAGAACACCTGATCACACTAAGATCGATATCGTAATAAAATTTCTACTCCCAAAGCGCGTGGTTTGGGAGAAATAGATAATATAAAAAGTAAATTTTGTAGGAATTATTAATTTACACAGCTAAGCTTTTTCTAGGAGCGTCTTACTTAATGTATATGCAGCTAAAGCACTTGTACAAACAGAGACAGTAAATATAAATACGGTCTTCAATTCTTCTCGTTGTATTCATGAAAAGAAGCCACTTTTTTACTGTCAAAATGATATATTACCCGGGATTATTTTAATATAAATATATTTACGAATGACGCAGGATCTTTAGACATAACTAATCCAAACTATCAATGTTTTTTTTTGCCTTTTTGTTAAAATAATTTGATGTGATTAAAGGGCTCCCTGACGCATTAATCCAGCATATTTATTGAAAAACTCAGCATAAATATCCAAAGCAATTACCTGAGGTTAAGTATTTGAATAACTTAATTCGTCTTATCCTAAATTTAGTAAAACAAAATGCTTTATCTGTTATATAGATGCGCTTTGCTCCTTCAAATTTGCTATTTCATATATTCGTAAAAAACAAAATTTTATATCTTAGGTAAAACATTTTGGTATTTATCTATTTATCAATACCTTCAAATTGATCCAGGCTTCCTCGTCAATCCGTTTGTCTTACTTCTTATAGAAATGCCTTGATCTTTAATTTCTATAGATTCTTTTTCTCAGCAATAAGTCGCTTAATATACACTTTTGCTTGAGTTGTGGTGTTGAAACTAGATGCTTTTATACTTATGAGCGCTGCTACGTGGGAATTTTTCATGCAAAGGCGAATACCATAATCAAAAATACTAATGACCAACACTGCAACTTTAGTTTCCATAAAATAACAAAAGTGGATATTCTTAGATATGCTTGAAAATTTCAGCTATTCGGACTAAAATTCCTGCCAAGTTTTTCAAATTCATAACATTCGCTGGTTAGCTGTTATAAAAAAGTTTTTTCCTGAAAAAACATTTTGAGACAAAAATTGCAAATCGAGCTATTGGTGTTTATATTAATTTATCAAAATTGCAGACATTTTCTACCATTAATGGGGCTCTTAAATTAATTGGAGGAAATGTTTGAATAATCGACTATGCCAATTAATGAAAAATTATTAAGTGTACAAATGGAAGGTGATAATGTTTAGCCTGATATGAACGCGGTCAATATTCTTCATTGTTGTAAAATTCAATGAAATATATTCTCGCACGAACATCAGCAAATGCATGTCCATTTTGTTTAATTTAAATCAAAAGGTATAAATTAAGTTAGGTCAACATATATCTCAAACATCTGGTGCAGTGTATATGAATGAATAAACGCCAATTCAGTTATTAAGTAAACCTTCACCATAATATTAATAAAAGCGATTTTTTTTCGAAAGAGGAAATTCTTCAGCTCTTACGTTTGATGTGCATGTTCCGACACTGACGCTCAAAAATGCCGTTTTAGGAATCTCCTGAAGATGATTCCTTTTCACCGGTTTAAACGTTCGTACCCGACATTAGAAAGCAAAAATATGCCCGGTTATGCTCAAAATTAATTACATTTCTTGATAAACAAGTTTTCAAAAGCCCTAAATTAGGAATAGTTCCCTTCTAGGGATGCGTTGCGCTGAGGAAAATGCATTTTTTAAGAATCCGTTTAGCGATGTCTAAAAATACCTGCATATCCTTTTATACAGGACAATATGCTGCATGGTTTGGTATGCTATCGTTGGCGTATAAGAGAGGAAACTTATTTATAGAGGTTCAGACAACGAGCATTGAGATCAGACAGTATCAGACACGGTAATGAAATCATAAATTATCGTCATCCATGACCATTTCTATTGACTATGCGATTGCCAAAATTTTGACATAATTTAGAAGCAAAGAAAAGCGGTGAAATGTTTCGATACGATTTCTTGCAAATTGGAATCTATCTATCTATCTCATGACGGTAATATAACTAAGTTCTAAATGTGAATAATAATCTGATTAATCTCTGAATTTCTCTCTCAGTATCATATAGATACATTTCAGATGTATTTCAAATGCATTTGAGTCAAAGTTTCAATTGTTAAGGGTCATAATAATGTCACCTATCTTCATCAAGCAGATTCCTGCTTCATCCGATAGGCATGTACACTTCCCTTCTCTGTAAACGTCTTTTTCGCTTCGGAAACGCGTTTTCTTCGCAATGGTTCGTCATTGTCCGTGATGCCGTCGTTTTCCGACTCGTTTCCATACCCTCCTCCGCCTGGAGTCTCCAAATGAAAGCAGTCCTAATTAAATAAAGACGGTTTCTTTTGAAACACATGAACATAAGAGTACAACAATGTACAAATACATACCCCAGCTTCCACTTTAACCGATGCTTTTCCTCCCAAGTTTATTTTCCGACCATCTTTGTAGAACAAAAGATTTTGACCACGTGACGCTGAAGAGCCACCTAATTCAGACGAAAAAGGTTTAAGATACACTTAGCGACTTAGCGTAACGTGGAAGACACAAAACCCAGCTCATATTACCTTTTAATCCGTACGGGCAGAATGCCCTTCTTTCGCTGAGAATTGATAATGTCAGCGGTCTTCTAAAAATCAACTCACGAATCACACCATCGCCACCTTTATATAAACCTTGCCCGCCGGAGCCTGGATTCAGTTGGAAACTTCGCAACACCACAGGGTACCTAAAAGGTTCGAGACATTCGCTATTATAACAGTCAGGTATTGACGATATAAAATGATGAGAAAATTGTGAAGATCTTCATTGAATACACTTTGAGTTAATCGCTACCTTTTCTCAAGGATCTCCGGGTCTGTGATTCTTGTGTTCGTCATGTGACTGTGAACACCACTTTTGCCATCCCAGTTTGGACCCTGTATAAAACATGAACAGATTTGAACCAAGCTTTCTGCCAATGATTGGGATGACTTGTATAGAAGAGGCCTTTTACATGATGGTTGCACAACAATTATATTTCCTAATACAGCGCCTGGCTGGTGCAAAGCTGGACCACTGGGCTGGACAAGGATTTAGAGCGATATCACGATACAAAATCTAGTTTATTTTCATTATCAATACTCACGGCGCCAGCCCCGCCAGCAACTGTTTCATAATATCCACAAGATTCGTCCCCAAAGGTGGTGTTGTTCATACAACCCTGGAAGAAATTGTCTTAGCAAGGTTGGACAGCAAGAGAGAGTGGTGATGTGGTACGTATCGAAGATGATGCAATCTGGTTTGAGTCGATGCAATCTTTACCTGTGAAGCAGCACATGTTTCGAATGCCCTGAAAATGACGTCGACAATCCGTTGAGTGGTTAGAACATTTCCACCAACGACAGCTGCAGTCTCGGATGGCGAGAGGATGGTACCGGATGGTATTCTCAACTCCACTGGTTTTAAACAACCCTAAAGGAAAGGAAGGTTGATAAATGAAGGTAAGAGGGTGTACCTGAAGTAACACTGGATAATGAAATATGACCTGCACTAGACCTCTCGAAGAGAGGTTTCGCAGTCCACAATAAATAGTTTAGTTTTTGTTTCCTCCTAAAGTAGTGACAAAGGATAAAAACAGGCAAGATTATTTTTACTGGGCCTTTGGAAAAAGCAGTTTAAAAATGATAGACTTATCCGGAGTAGAATTCTATTCTGTAGGACATACACTGGATAACTACTGGACTTCTAGTTTAAACTTTACAACTATAACTTTGCTATTCAGTATAATCGTTAGCAATTCACTTAATTTCCAACACACATTTATCTTACCTGATTCAGTGGCACGTCATGGCCAACCATGCAACGTAAACAATAAATAATTGCAGACAAAATAATCGCTTTTGGCGCGTTGAAATTCCCATAGACTTCGGGTCCGGTCCCTGTAAAATCAAAGACCGCGCTACCATCGTCTTGGATAGAAACACTCAGAGCAATCGGCGTCCCATCGTCCATATAGTCAACCGCTGACAATACTGTTTTTCCTGTACGCTCTTTAGTCTTGGCCCCAATCTCCTTAAGCATATCTCGCACGGCGATTTCGGCGTTCGTTTGAATGTGATTCATGTAAGCTTGCACAACGATCAGGCTGTATTCATCGATAAGTTCGGTTATGAGATCAATGCCCTTCTTGTTTGCAGCCACCTGAGCTTTGAGGTCAGATAAATTGTCGCGAAGATTTCGTGTACCGCTGCAGCCCGGGTACTTTTGGGGTTCCATGAGTTTCTCCGTGACACCTAGAGGATGAAGAGGGATGTGATGTGAAAATTGAATAAAGGTATAAAATGTACGAGTTGAGAGTCTTAGTTAAAGATTTCAGCCACACAGATTTAGGAACGCGCGCGCGAATCTTGTACGTTTTCTTCCCATATGGAAAAAAAGATGAGTGATATCTCACCTTCTTCATCAAAGACACCATTTTGAACCAACTTAAATGACGCGAATGTAGCCCCTTCTTCAGTGAGCAGTTTGGAATGAGGCGGCATAGAACCTGAAGAATTATCATTGAAAATCAATCAGAGCTGGTATTGTCACAACAGCACCGTTTGAATTGAGAATAGTAGGGTGTTGATTACAGTCGATACCAACCTGGTGTTATTCCTCCAATGTCAGCATGGTGACCTCTATTTGCCACGAAGAAGACTGGTTTTGGTTGTCCAGGATAAAAAACCTCAATTGGAACACAAAAGAAATTGGAAAAGGTTTCATCATTATCCAGTTAGATTTATCATGCAGTGGTGTGATTTTCATCTCTGGTTCCCGGTCTTACCGGCGTAATTACAGTCAAGTCGGGTAAATGACTTCCTCCAAAAGACGGATGGTTACAGAGAATTACATCACCTTCAAAGATTTTGTCTCCCAACAGGTTCATCTGAAAGATATGGACATTCATGACTC